GCACATTGCTGGCTGGTGGTTTCAACCCCCCTTAAAAATATGAAAGTCAGTTGGGATGATGACATTCTCAATATATGGAAAACAATCCAGCCATGTTCCAAACCACCAACCAGATTAGATTCCACTAGGTTTCACCACTAGTTTTCTCCATGAAACTTCGAGGCCACCATGGGCCACGAAGGACACCTGACACGGAGACTCTGCACGGACGGGGATCCATCGTCCTCACCACGGCTAGAGACTCTGCAGCACGAGTAGAGATTGGCGCAAGTGCCCTGCGTCATGTGTGTGTGGATGATATGATATGATATTATATTATAGTAAATTATTTTCTCACAAGAAAAAAACTATTTCCAAAAACATGGGTTCAGTAATTACTACTAGTAGTACAGTTATAGGACCTAACAGTTATTCATGGCATTCTAGCTCCTGCAACTCAGGTTCTATATCACTTGCATGGGCTCAACTAAGCCACTTAAAACTGTTAACCGCCAGAAACATGGGTCCTGCAATTACTATTATAGCAGGTATGGCCCTTTGCCAGTTATAAGTCAGTAAGCCACCCCATAAAATGGAATGATAACCCCATGTATAACCATTTCTTTCTGGCAAAGGGCTATAACTCCCGCAACTCAGGCTAAATCTATCTATCTATATATCTTTATATAAACATGTATACATATATATGGGGTGGGTTAGCCCCGGCCACAACCCTCCCGTGACCGGCCCTGCAGGCCCTGGCCGGAACCATGCCTCAACTTGTTCAGTTCTCCCCGCAACCAACAGCGGTCTGTGTCCGCCATCTCCAAGTACCGCCTGGGAATTTTCGCCGAGGCCAACTCAACAGGGGTAGCCATCCCAAAATGTCGGATACTCCATTGATATTACCATCTGGTAATCTAACATAACTATAGAAAATCACCATTCTAAATGGGGACACTCACTATTTTTATGGTCATTTTCAATGGCTATGTCAAGATTACCAGAGGAGACTCCATGGATATTATCAAAAAACCTATCAATAGGGATTCGATAGGATTTAAATTGGATTTAAAAGTCCTAAGGACCTATATAGACAAGAAAAAATCTGTGTCAATGAAGACGGGTGAAAACCCAACAATGGAAATTTTGCACTGTCCAGGCAGTGTATACCTCTCATTGGGACTAGCAATGTGATAAGTTGCATTGTTGGATCTGAAATTCCAGAAACTGCTGCAAAAGAGACCTACCTGCGGCAATTTAATATACCCTAGATATGGCTGTGGAAAATGGACACTTATAGTGATTTTTTCCCAGTGAAAATGGTGATTCTCCATGGTTATGCGCGTTTACCAGAAAGTAATTTTCAGTTGGATCCTTGTTTTCACGACTTTCATGCAACACCGAGGATCTCAACGTTTTTTCAAACATGACCAGCCAAACCAACCACCTCAAAGCATTGCACCAGTCCAGCACGTTTCTCACCTCCCACTGTGAAGGCAATCAAATCCTACATTTAGATGATGTGGCTTGACCATTTTCCGATTCAAAGCTGATTCGACTTCAAAGATTTCACAGAAATGTTGGCAAGATACAGTTCGATTCCCTTCAAGCTGTTATTTTTCCATTCATGACCCTCTGGTATCACCAAACATGGTTTGCTGGATAATGGACTATTTATCAGTGATTTTCCAAGCCTGAAACCTCCATTCAGCTCAGGGATACGGAAGAGCAGCACAAACAGCCATACAACTAAACCAAATGTGACCTTTCTTCTAATAAAAATAACATAGACAGAGTGCAAGACAAAGCTAGTACAGCTGAAATTGAACAGCTTCAACCACTTTTTCCCAACCACCCAACACGCACTCCAGGATTTAGGACGTCGAGCACAGCCACTCCACTGGCAATGGAAAAACTATTCTTCGCGCTGCCCTGATGGCTGAAACACATCACAGGAAAACAAAACAAGCCACAGATGATCGCCATTGCCACCATCCTATATGGCCAGTTTGCTTCACCACAGCCCGCCACGGCACCGAACATCCACATTTTCAATCTGCCGCAAAGCCTTCAAAAGAAGATGGGGACAACCACAACAAGCCACTCATAGTATCAATTGCCATGACCGGCCAGGCAACAACGAAACCACCGCTTCAATTGCAGCGATGCTTCAAAGCAAAATGAGGAGAGATAAAAAAAGGCAAGCCACAGATGATTTCAAATGCCACCATCCTATGGATTGCTGCTCCAGGAAAAAAAGACGTCCAGAGCATGCGGCAACATGCTCACATCTCCATGGCAGTGTCAGGCATGTTGTCCTCCTCAACCAGGCCTTCGTCCACAGAGTTGCGACAACTGCGAACACTGGAGGCTTCGGCACGTGCACCTCACACAACCAACCACCCCATCCCCATCCCAGCCATGCTTTCGACTGCTGCCTACAGTTACAGCAACCTTCTCCGTCTGCCACCATCACAAAGTGACATCCCCCCCTACTAAACCTCAATCCAAGCCACCGTTTAGAGTGATTTCCGACAGATGGGAAACAGTCCGCCTCATTCGGGAAGCTCGACCACCAGCAGGCATCAAAGAAGCCAATAAATGGGCTGTGTCAGCGCATCGTTTCACACTCCCCAATGCCTTTGCCTTGTGAGCCTTCGCCTCAGCTTGGAACATCTGGCCAGCTTGCCCCCAACCCATCATTTTGTGCATTGACTACTGCTTACTCCTAACTCAAGCAATTCCATGTCACGCCCCGCACTGCACACCTGTCCAACACTTTTACCAAAGCACAGTCTCGGCATTCGCCAAATCCACGGCATCCACCGCACGAAGCAGTCCCAGCGGTTCCATCGCTTTCGTGAAAGCCTGCCAACTGGCCAAAGATGGACAGTCAGCATCAACTCGAGCACGGAAACCGTTCCGCAACGGGATAGCCATCTTGAAGTACAAAGTAGGCCTCACCAAGATCTTGGCAAAATATGGTGCTGGCCATGCCCCAGCAAATGAGACACCTGAGCCCTATTGATCTGACCCTCACGACATTCCTCCACAAATCAAAATCTGCCACAATTTGATCCATTTCTTATCCTTGCTGACCATGCTCCTACTCACCAACCCATCAAAAAGAAAGCCCATGCAGGCTAGGCTTTGAGCAGGGTGAGCAGGTCACTACGCTGAGCAAAGTGTTGCTTCGAGTGGAACTCGATCATGAAGCTTCTCTGGACAGGTCCGTCCCCTGAATCCGGCTGGGCCTGCTGCTGCACAACAGGCTGTCCTACCTGGCACAAACCCATGCTCCCAAATATGACCGCCACTGGACCACCCGCACATGTCAATCTACTTGACATATCCACCCTCTTGTTGTCCAAATCTGCCACATCCTCCAACCAACACCACAACCACACCTCCTTGACATCGAAGTAGCGCACCAAGGCAGTACGCACCTCAGCAACGTTCTCCTTGATGTTCAGGTGGCAGCCATCGTCTTTAAGTTCCATGTCGATGTTGAAACCCAGCTCCTTCGAGCCGATTACAAGCAACAAATGCCAACCCACTGCATGAAAAACATAGTCAAGACATGCCCAGTCCTTCCAAACCTGACATTAATGATGCATACACACACATGTGTGTGTGTGTGTGTTTGTGTGCTGTACAAAAGTCAAAACAACAAAAACATCGAATTCCCTTCCCCCACAGCCGCCTTGGAAATGAAGAGCTTCACCTTCTCATAATCTTGAGATGCCCACCATTCTGCAACATCATGGCCCTCGATGGCTTTGGTCAACAGAAGCACAGCCATGGCAATGGATAGGGGATCTGGCCTGAATCGTGCCCTGAGAACCAACACCTGAGACCACAACCAGTTAAACCCACAGAATACACAGCCAACCGTGCCAATCCACAACCGGCATGAATCATGAACCTATATGCACCTACGCATGAACCACCAACAACACTTGAAAAGACCAGTACACAGCTCAATCATGACACAAAGACGTCCAAAAAATTCCTACTCCATGACGACCATCGACAAGTCCAAACATTACCTGAACCATCATGAATCAGCTCGGACGCCATGCAGCTGCAAGAGCACACTTCTGAGGCGATTTGCCGCAAAAAAATGGACTGCAGACATTAAAGAAATACACTGAATATCAACTCACGTCGGAACTCTCTGACAGATCCCCTGGATGAAATGTTGTGGATCCCTTCTGGATTCAGCAGGTGCAGGGATCTACTGCAGATTTCCACCCCAGACTTGTTTACTTCCAACCCTTTTCTGTTTCAAGTTGGAGCCATTTTAGTAGCAAATTTACCACTGTTTCCGGAAACCAAAGCATTCAATATCATTGCACGCCGATGGAAAAACAAGACAACCCCTAACCCAATATTTCAACCAGGCCTTTGTCATGACCTAGATCCTCCTCAAACATGATGACCACTTGTCAATGCACCAAAAGGTTTTCACTCGCACTTCCAAACATGACATCCCTGCAGCCCCTCTGCTTAACCTGTCATGCCCCCCAAATGTGTTCAGCAACACATCGGAGCGCCGACTTCTTTTGCATTCGACTCAAGTCTGTCACGGCAACCTGCGCCCATGCTGCGTCACTCCAGCCACTGTGTCACTTTCTAAACTCTTTCAGTAACAATTACAGGCCCACATGCTAGCAAGTCTGCCTACGCATTAACAGACTCTGACAGGCCATGGCAAGTCTTGACGCAACACGGCAAAGGCCGCCAGGGAACAAAGCATCCGGCAACCAAGGCCTCTGCACATCACACAAGTAACCTTGAACACAAGCTTTGCAGCATTCACAAACACTGATGGCAAACTCTGACACCGTTTACCTTGGGCCGGACACGTCCCCGGTAAAAAAAAACCTCCACCGCCAGGCCATGCAACACCCAACTGCTTCAGCCTTCAGGGCCACTCTTCAGCCCCTCTCGGCGTTCTCCACAAGCTTGCTGGAGCCAACCACAGGGGAATTGCACAGCGACAGCAACGACATGATCTAGCATCGAACAATCATGGACGAAGCCGCGTACACGGCGTACCCCTGCTTCTGCACCTGGAGACCAAGGATGGCTAGCGTCGCATCACTGGTGATGCTTGGCAAGGTGGCATAGCTGTCATAGAGGGCAACGTCGTAGGTGCCTTGGCTTCACACTGCTCTGCCAAGCAATTTTCACTGGAACCATTTCTTATTCTGACTTCGCATGGCTTCAGTCCTATCTCAAACCTATCATAGCCCCCCTGAAACCCTTGCAGGTCACTATAAAACCCAACCTGAAGCCAACACCAAGCCACTCGGGCTCTCCTCCTCTGCAGCAGAGGCATTGCAGACTCGGATGATCTTCTTCGGACGCTCACCACCTGCAAGCTCCCCAATCTCCAACACTTTCACCTGTACGTTCGCCATATGCTGCCCATCCAGATCTTCAGGAAGCACTGGGGTGGAGTTCAAGAGATCAAAAGTGGCCGTCGGAAATCGCTGGTCATCTTCCAACACACGGATGGTGCTCCTCAGTGTGCATCGGCTTTCAAAGCAAAATATCAGTACTTCAATTTCTCAATCTTGGAAGCACCTGCAACATAAAGGCCCCTGCAGCATGCTTTACAAGGGCCTTGGAAGGAAAACCACAACATTTCTATCTCCCCAGCTAGTCTCTTCCTCAATTCCAGCTAATGCCCCTGCATTCTGCCAGGTTACTCAATGCCATGTTTGCGTTTGCCTCCTGTAGGCAGGTTGCATGACAGCTCTCGATCGCCAAGGTCAAGGCCCAAGTTATCCTCGGGGATTTGGCCACTGGCAGTGCCGCGCCACAAGGGCCTGCATTCTGCATTGACCACTATGATCATCATGTCAAGGGCCAGCTCAACCTTGGGATTGGCGTTCAGCTTCACCAGGATGGCTTGAACACTGTCAGAACCATCGCGAGGACAATCTGAAAGAACGAGCCTGACATGTGGCCCCAACCAAGATCAATTTTTCGTCAAGCTAACTTTTTGGCTTTGATTGCAAAACCATACCCAAACTTCTGCCCACTTCACCTGCACCAAGAGACTTAGTCACAGGCCACCGCTGCTGGACTCCGTAGATCGCATGAATGCGGCCACGGCAGCTGACGGGACGTAAGGGCATGTTGCCAGTCATGATCTCTGCAATCGAAAGCTCTGTTGCTCCTGTCGAAGCACTGGTAGCCGAAGCCTTCGCCTTGGGACTGGTGCCACCAATGCAAAAACGTGCCGCGGCCATCAGAATGGGACAGCAGGTGGAAATACCGGTGATTGAGCCCAAAAAGTACTCCACAAAAACCATGGAAGTCTTGGGCCGCCGCAGAGTAACAACTGTCACACTTGGAGGGCATGGTGGACCCTCTTTTATTGAAGGCCGAAAAATGAAGCCAGCCCTGGCACGATATTTGTTGATCCTAGGCTCCAAAAGCTGATGACTGAATACTGTGCAGGTCAATTCCAGGCCCCCCTTGCCTGGAGCATGGCTGGTGGGTTAGCCTTGAAACTGGCTGGCTTCGCATGGGAAAAGCTAGGAAAATGGTGGTTGAAGTGGCCAAAAATCAAAAACCATAAATTTTCCTGCTGGAAAAGAATGTTGGTCTGATGTTGGTCGAATATCGGTCCAATGTTGGATGCTTTGGGGCGTATCCCTCATGATTTCGGACACCTCCAAATCACCACACGCCACACCACTCCAACGATGCCGCCTTTCTCCCCCCGCTGCAAGGCATCGTCATCCACCAAGACGACTACCTGACGAAGGTACCGCCATGGGGACCCCATGGCTACGTGGTGAGTTGATGGCAATTTACCATCGGGTATGGCTTCCAATGGTCAATGAATGGTCAATGAATGATCAATTAACGGTGCATGAATGGTTAATGAATGGTGAATGAATGGTGAATGAATGGTTCATGAATGGCCATTAATGGTTATTAATGGTTTAATTCCTGGTCATTGCTATAGTTATTGCTGGATCCTGCATGAGGAATTAACTGTTACTGATGTTATTGGCCATGGGATAAACGGATAAACCTTATTTTGCAGTATTTCAGTACAACTGGTCATCTAGTGATGGAATACTATGCACAATTCAAGAGTCAAATGTGGCTTCTTCTAATCAATTACTAAGATGCGAAAAGCTCAAAAAAGCTCAGACGTGCTGAGAGAACAAGAGAGGACATGAGAAGAAAATCTCGCAAAATAAGAAGCCAAGAGCGGAACGTCAAGAAATGAGATGAGAAGCGAAAAATAGGTCAGATGACGGAGATGTCAAGAGATTGTTTCTTGCAACGACAGAGCTGTGCGACGTCCTATAGGCACATTCCAAGCTATACCCTGGCTTTTATCTTCAAGATGTCCGCCCCTGGCTTTCCTTCGTTACTACTTGTATAAGAATGTAGCCATCAATTCTGATCATAGATGGACCCTAAACAGTTTCAAGTCAAACATGTTTTTTGTCAGGACATCTTTGTTCTATTCTTAGCAGTGTGCTTACCAGTTGTACAGCGCCAACCAAACCCCAAACAGTCAGCAGGAAGCTGGAACTCATTGTGGTCAGTTTCCAAAGATTGGGGCAGTCTGCCGCTTGATACCCCCTTAAGCGTCCTTTTGTGGAACCTATGGCAAACAAGACATCTAATCCCACCAAGAAGCAAAATCACACTCTGCCAGTCAAAGCCATTCGGTATCTATATATATCTTGATTTATTGCAAACATTGAAAACACACCTTTGAACAAGAACTACTTTCCATGTCTCAATTCCAAGTAAACCAAGAATGTATCTGCCCAAATAATAAGTACAGTAACAGTATAAACATTCCCGGCATTGCATGGCTTGGGCAATGTCGTCTTCATCGATGTTGACATGAGGTAAATTCCAGACGTTGGATCACAAACGGAGAAGGCCTGACAAGAAAGGTCCATTTGGACTGGCATCCAGTGGACAAAATAAACAAAGGTCGGTGAAATATCATGAACTGTCATTGTTTTTTGCACACAGAAATACGGTTTCAATGTGTTGTACGGGAAACATCAAGAAACATCTACAGGAACACCCTGGTTTTTGCCTCAAATAGAGGCCTATCACGTGCATCCATGCATTCCAAACCATGAGTTGAGTTGGCCGAAAATCTGGCCATTTCCAAGGATGCTCACCTTTGTGGAGGCTCAGCATCGTTGACGTCCTGTCGTCTGCGTTAAAAAACAAAACATCAACAAAGAAAAACAACTAAAATATACCACCTAATTTGATGAAGAAATACATCCGTCATCATCTACCTCGCTTAGCTCTCACACTCTTCCTCGGATAAACAAAGAACTGTACCCTCTGGTAAACTAACAGTTTGCTATTGCAAATGGCCCAGTCGAAAGAGTCCATTTACCCATACCAAATGGTGATTTTCCATCCATTTTTTCTCAACGTTTACAAGAGGGTAACCATCACTATTAACAATGATTAAGCATTATCAATTGGCATTAAACACTATGAAAGCCATGATTAACCAGAGTGTAAACCACCATGTTTGATGACTAAACCATCATTAACCATCATTAACCACTATTAACCACTATTAACCAACACCATCCCTCCAGGGCCCCAGGGCCTCACACCAACCCATCCCGGAATCCCGGCATCTCGGACCTCAAGAGACGAGTGCGCATGACGTCACCCAAATCCACTGCTTGGATTGCACCGCAGTAGTGGTACAAGACGACACGAACCTCTGGTCCCAGCTGGGTCACAGTTCAAGACTTGGTACATGCATGCTCTCGCTCTATCTCTCTATAAATTATGACTGTATTATATACAACATATATCATTAATGTATTTATATATATATGAATATACATATATACAGATAAGATAATTCATATATATATATATATTTATTATTATTATTATCATTATTACTCATGAATATACATACTTCATATATATATAATTAATACATATATAATATACATAATATATTATATACATAATATATTATATAAAATTGATATATATATATATACATATATATATACATATATATGATAAATAAATATATGTATATATTTATTAATTTTATATACATTATGTCTTTATCTATAAATACTATATACATAGATCTACAACTAATGCATCTTATACATATTTCCACATGTTGTACATTGACAATGTTTGATAATGTTGCCAAATGATTTCGATGGACTTGTGCTAATTGGATCCATTTCGAAACTCCTTGGTAGTCATCAGCTCAGCTCAAGCCCTTTAAAACGGCATGATGACACCACTGCCACAAAACCGGCATGGCAATGGCGGCAATGGCACATGCAGTTTACTGCAAGATCTGCAAGTGGGATAGGTTGGGACCTCAGGATGGCCCTCTTGGTCATCAACCATCAACATCATTCCAAACATGCTCATCATTTGGGGCCTGTCCGAAGTATGAACCAGAAACAACCACAAAATTCCGAGATTTCCTGGTGGCTTGATAGATCCAACATGGATACCCTGACCTCTTTGCGGTGACCAAGGTCCCCACTTCAACTAGACCTTGATGTTGTTCTCGTCCATGCCGTCCCTTAGTGGGTGTTGAGTGGTTGGGTTTCTACATGTGCACTTTACCCTCTGGTAATGACTAACAGTTTGCTATTGAAAATGGTACTTTCCCCATTACAAATGGTGATATTCCATAGTTATGTAAACGTTTACCAGAGGGTATACTTGATCTCTAGAGAGGGCTGACCGATGACTGGTCAAAGGTGCTGGTATGCACTGGAACGTCACTGCTGCTAATAGACTATCCACTTTTTCTGCATCCCAGTAGGACACCACTGCTATAAACAAGTCATGCGATCAGTTGGGATCATCATCTTAAATAGGCTCAATGATATTCTATGTTGGTATCAACAAATATTTGAACCATTTCGAGCCGGAAATCAAATCATATCACATCACTTTCCGCTGGAACCAGTGGAACCATGCGCCATGTCACTGCACTGGCTCTCCCAACGCATTCTGCGTCACCCTGCGAGGCCTCAGATTTCAGGCTCACAGTCTCTTCAGGTTATGGACAGCATGTCTGGGTGATTTTCTTACTGGCTATTCCCTTGAACTTGGGGCGCACACTAGGAATCTGCGGTGAACTCACCCAGAGCATGGTTCATGAAGCCTGCTCCATACGATTGCCCAAAGCCTGGCCAAGAGATTTTGGGGCTGTCCTCATCAAATGGGGCACAAAACTGGCATTCCCACGGCCTTCACAAAGCGTTCAACATCTCCATGGCGTCTGCATCAACACCTGCGACAGTTTAGCTGGTTGCGGTCCAACCAATGGGATATAAATGGGACAATTGTCAATTTCTACCAACCATTCTCGGTTATTTGAGATTAGGCTGCAGTAGTCTTCCCCGAAGCATTCTCAGGTGAGTGAAACCAAAACTCAAGTATCAATTTGCCTGCAAAAGGCAGTTTCGCACCCCTCCGTCTTCAGTAACCGATTGCAATTCTCTTCGCTCTAAGTTTCCGACCACTTCCGTCCATGGCATCAACAGCCACGCGATTTTTTAGGAGCTGCTGGACATAGGCTTTGTCATCGCTGCACACGGCATTCAGCAGCTCCGTCCGGCCTAGGTGACAAAGGTGACAAGAGCGACAAACGTTCATATACATTGCTTGAAATCAAATTGACCTATGCCATGTTGTCAGGGTGCAAAAAAAAGTGTCTGAACGAACATGCTTCCGAATTGCATGGTTTTTACATGATTTAAAGTGACACGAGCTGTACCAGGAAGAAGCAGGAACCGCTGAGCTGGACTGGTGGCGACGGGAGAAAGGTTAATCATTACTACACCGTGACCCGGACAAACCACCTCCTCTTCTGGCAACACATCCAGCTATTCGCCACCACTTTGAGCCCGCTGCCCAACCTGTTCTTCTTCTCGACTTTGCCCTCAGCTGTGGTGTCTTGGCCTCCGCATGACCATGGCAGAATGGCTCCCAGAGGATTCCTGAAAGAATTCCATTCGTATCTGGCGCAAAACAAATGCTGAGCGCCAAGCTCTCAGACGATGCTGTGGCGGCCTGGTCGACAGGAAGGTGCATTCGAAAAAGTTCACAGCAAGCACATGGAAACATTCAAAATGGCATGGAGGTCATATGAGTCATATGCAAAAAGAAAAAAAGATATAACCAATCCTATTTGGTAAAAGTTTCTTTGCCTGCCATATTTGCTAGACATGAACAGGAATTCAAAAAACTATATTTGTTTGGACAGATATGGTGATGCCTTTTGACATAGCATCTTTGGTTGCTTGTTGATGCATTCCTGTGGAGGTTTCTCGTGAAAAAAAACAGGAATGCCATCCTACCGGTTGCCTGGTAAACCAATCAAGGGGCCAGGATGGCAATCAATTCTGCCCTGTCCAATTCACCTCAGCCGTTTGATCGGCACTAGATATCAGGAAAAAACAAGGACATAATAGCCAAGTTTCCTATTGACCTGATCAACATCAAAAGACGAGAAGAACACCATACTTAGGCATGCTTCTGCGGCGTCAACCATTTGTTTGATGTACAGTATCTGGTCTGAAGCAAAAGAAGTTCCTGTCCCAGCACATCTGGGACCCCTGCGAGCGTTCCCAAAGCCATCATTTTTTGCACGTGTTGTGCCACGGGAAATCCCATAGAATGGTGAAACCGTAGCGAAATGTCAAATCCAGGAAAGGTTCGTAGAGTGGATGCCATGTTAAAACTTTCAAGGTCCCTTTCACCAACAAGCCCACCCAACCATGCATTCAATTCACATTGGTAATCAATTAAAGGTACTGGACAACCAAAATCCAATCTCGAACACAATATAACGCACTGGGAAGGATCGTGGTTAAGGAAACAAACATGTGTAGAGGTGCTGTGTCACAATGTTGCTTTGAACCATCGATCGCGTATTGCATGCACACGACCCATGGCACTTTGACCCCACATTAAGAATGACCACCTCTAGTAAACCTAACATGATAGCGTTGTGTCCCAAAGAAGGAGGGGTCGGCGGCACCCGGGCGCTAGCCCGTTTTATTAAGAGAGGGATATGTGGATGATATAACTTGATATAATGATGACAGAATTACAATAGATAATAATATGGATTATATATGATTATATAGTCATAGTCATAGTGTCTAATAATATTATCCCAGAGACTAGCTAACGGGTGAGTTTTCAGAGGGCTAAATCGAAGTTGATACATCGATTTTGATTGGGTTGTCGATGAGCCTAGCTAACCCTCAAGCTGACCCCACGGACCAAAACTGGATGTCAATGATCGATGGTTCCTCCATCCAAACATCTTTTTAGCTGTCAAAATTGACATATGATTCAACAATATAAAATGTTGTCATTTGTTGGTGATGTTTCCTTTAACACTAACCATCATTTCATCTCTGTGACATCGCAGTGAGGTCGTTATACAGTTCACCCAGATATGTCCTTCCATATTCATGTTCATGGTTGAATCCCAATGTTTGTTCCTCGTCCTCAGTGAACAAAAAAACATGTTGTAGTTATATCCCATAATGTGTCCATACTTTACGTAGTCGCTACATACATTATACCTAGTACATATATATATACACCATAATATATCCATATTTCTTATGATCTGTCCATAGGATCTCTCGTTTTGTCCCAGGCACCAATGTACAGCGGCTTCGTCTTCGCCTCCAGAAATGTTACCAGCTCCGCGGGTGGCGTGTAGCTTGACGGTGCATCGGCGAAGAGGTAACCGGTTTGGCGAGCCAAGGGGAACTCCGGTTTCAAGTCTGCGGGCTCTGCAATAACTTGACCTTGCTGAAGCATCATGATTCTAGGCATATTTTTGCGGGGATAATTTTGTGTTTATCATGTTTGGTCTTATATGTTTTGAGCATCTTCTTGGGGGGCAAAACGAAGGTATGGTTGAAAAGAGATGAACATCACCCTAACATCCAGGAAAACATGAGTTGTTTGAGGGTCTAGGGGTAAGTGTGTTGGCTCGGCATCGTTGTCGAAACAAATCGGTCTTTTGTATGGACATATCACACCAGCAAATTGTAGCATCTAAACTGAACTCGCAAACTGGGAACGTCTCAAAGCATGATGAAATATGATAAAATATGATAAAATAATATAAAGATATATAAAGCGCATGTTTACCCGTACCAGCTACCATATCTACCATGGTCTGTGAGTCATCTCCCATGTTTCAATGCAATTGATGTCCAACCCCGCTTCCAGGCTTCGGCCCATTCCGAGCAACTACTCCAGCAGTTTGCTTCGGGACAAGCATGGTATGCAGCTTGAACCTCCATAACATCCTTGTAGGGTCGTAAGCCCCACCTCTTGCGCAGAAGTTGAAGCTGCTGGAACTCCTAGAAGACTGGATCAGTGGATGTGCCGGGGAGAGAGACCTCTTCATAGTTGCTTCACCCATTGGAAAATCTGTACAGTAGCTTGTTGACATCGGTTGACGCGAAGTTTTGTTCCATGCAGATTTGGTTTCTCGAAAATCTATTGGGGTCCAGGACCCTCGAAAATCTAAAACCTAGACATAGCGATCTTTTTTGCCGTCCTGGGATTTACCACTTGACAAATACATAAAAGATATAAAAGGGGTCACGAAGTGGCCATCTTGCAGATTCTTATAGCTGGAGACTGTCTGTTTCCAAAGTGACTTATTTCTAAGATCTATATATTTGATATTATACTAATTACATGCATGATTATCATCTATGTCTATGTCTATATCCGTATTGATTATTCATGATGATGCATTCCTCTCATCTTGATCCGCTCCCCCCCCATTGGGGCCCCCTGTCCAGGGCATCCAGGGCGGTCCTCAGGACTGATGTACATGTTCCAAAAGAGGCGATGCGCCTCCAAAGGTCGTTCCAGCAATCCATCTCTCTCCAGCTGTTTGGCCGAGAAGAAGACTGGTTGAGCCACAGCGGAGGGGAGGAATGGCCTAGGCGCGATGTGTCATGTGTCGAAGGGATCCGAGCGTCACCTGGGAAAAAGATGGAAAATGCATGAAAATGCAACACAAAGGCCTCAGTCCATAAAACAAAAACGAACACGAGCTTTATCCGATGATCCAATGTATAACTGGCGTATTTTTGAGTATCGGATGTCGGATGATCTGATTTACTTTACAAATACTTAAGCTTCTAATCCAGCAATTAGCACCAAGTATCACCCAGTCTCACCCAGTTCAAATATGCCAGGTGTTCCCCAGTCAGCCATATTCAGCCACCAAAAGTTGCCATTGACACAGCTCGGTGGCATAAAGAGGGCATTGATCAACGGCACGGACATCGCTTCAGCCACCATCATCAGTGGCACAAAGCCTCGGCGTGGTGTGACAAGGACAGCATGATGGTGAAACTCCGGCAGAAGCACCTGGCAATGGTGAAGATCATCATACTTTTTATGAGAAAAAACAAGAAAATCACATCACAATAGATGGGTTTGGGAAATGTTCATATCCACTTTAGGTTCCTGGAGAAAAACATGTATCTATGTCCATCCATAAAGTGAACCCACTTTTTGTTGGAGCCATCAACGTCTGTCCCCGACACATCATCGCACTTGAAACGTGTCAAGCAGCTGGGATGACCCACAATCACATCAGGCTGAAAGCCTTGCACGAAGTCATAGACCTCATCCGCCGGATTGATGCCTGTCGCGGCAGGCGACCGGAGATTTTTTGCCAATGGTTCAACTGGGTATGGATCAAATGTTGCTTACAACATTCGATCACCTTTAACGAAGAAAAAAAAAGTCAAGGGGTGGATTCGATTCCTATAGATCTTTCGAACAAATTGTTGACCCTAAATCCACCCTGGCACCCACCTGACTCTTCAATCTGCCGTTCCTGTGCAGTGTTGAATGCTCTGACGCAGCTGGCACCATCCCCTTCAGCAATGGCTAGCTGCATCTCCTGGGCGCACCATCCGGCCCATCTGTCAGCCTTCACATGCGAAGGATGGGTATGGTCATCCCAGTCATCCTACCATTGATCAGGACTCATATGGGGTCTACCGATCCCTATTCTTCATCGTCGTCGTCGTCGTCATCATCATCATCATCATCAACATCCCTTCATGATCTTTGCCCACAAACTTGTCACACACACCCTCCAATAAATGCCACAACTGTGGATTGTGGATAGCATGAATGCAATCCCTTTATTTCTATATTTAGTTGTTGTCTAGCTGGATTTTCCCCAATAGCACCATAAAAGAAGGCCACCCTAGTTATAGTTATAGGCTATAGGTAAGCTGACTATGACTAGCGATTGGATTACAGGTGGATGTAGCTGCAGTTGGATGGGTCTTTAAAAACTCATTCATAACTTCGGGGTCAAATCTTGGACGATTAACAATTCAAAATCATATGTGTTGATTATATTATACTGTTGGTTCTATCCCCAATATATACTCGGAAAGAAAATCCAACTATGTGGGGTAGTGATCAGTTTCACAAGTTGCCTGCATCTATAGTCCCATTTTGGGACAAAACCAAAATTCCTATCATCTATCAGGGTTGCTCCCAACACTACAAATACATTTGGGGGGGAAACTGGGTAGATAAATAGATAAAATGATGAGTTTTCCCCCCATTGGGGCTATCCATTTATTCCAGGATAAAGTGACATAGATGCGGAAAACCAAAGAGGTTTCAATAGAAAACATCATCTACATTCATGGTGGATTTTCCACATCTATGTTACTATGTTGGTTTACCCCAGGCTACCTATACTTGGGGCAATCCTGCCATATCCTGACTCCAAAAACACAAGTTGCGACGTCCTTGGACTGGATGGCCTTCTTGGGATCAAAGCTCATCCGAAAGGCCTGGCGCATCTGCCAAGCGACGCTTCCTTTTGGGGCCCCCCAAGGGATTGATAGACATTGGGGCATAACAATCCATCAGGGTTTCTATGTCTATCATGTTCATTCATTTGAAAGGTGGATATGATGGATATTCATGAGTTGAATCTTAGGGATCAGAGGTGATATGAGTTGGATGGGATTGAATCCAATGAACAAATGATGAAAATATGAGATTATATAGTTCTCACTATGTTTTTTGATCGGACTAATGGCTCGGTTTCACAATCCACCAGGCTGCCTAGAGGGGAACTTAAATCATAAGGACAGGGATTAATGCAAGTTGTCAATGAATGATAATATCCCCAAACACCATTTCCATTCTCACGATCAACAATGTAATCTGGTTGTACTGGGATGCATGAAATAAGATTTACTTACTAGATTTCCTTTATACTGTGTAATTGTTGCAATAAATTCACCGACCTGAAAAAAGGTCATGTAAATGTGGTTGGTGCCCTTAATCGTAACCATCATGTACAGAGACATCGCAGTGATGTTGTGATAACTGATCCAGTCTTGATGGTTATATAATATGGTCATCAAGGATAGAATATATTCAGGAAATTCAACTTCTATATGAATTGTACGGTCGATGTACCTCCAGAACAGATCATATAGAAGATAATATGTAAAATGGGCTCCAGGGAAGACCAACATCACCTTCCGGAACCCAGAACTGAGACAGCTCTTGCAACAACAAATTGAAATATTCCTGAATGTGTGTTGTTTAAACCAAAACCCACAATTTTTGCTTGTTGCATGCCATAAATAACATGAAAAATAACCCTACTTTTGTGGGTGAAATCACCGTGTGTTGATTCTGAAAAACCCCAAGTTTTGGCTAATGAAACTCCAATTGTTGGTACTGAAAAGCCAAGTGTCTGGATGAAATTCCAATTTCTGATGGTGGGGTTTCCACCCTTTTTGGGGCACCAAAGAACTCAGGGGGTAAACTGGGTCAACGTCTCTGAAAACACCTCCAGGCCGTATTCCTGAACCACGTCGACGCAACCTCGGCAAGGTGATTTTTAGGAACCAAAAGGATTTGGAAGCATTTTTTTTGAGTGATTTAGCCAACAAAATATGGATGTTAAGCATGTTTAACTCACAAAGCTGGGGAATCACTATAGCAATACTGTTGATAGGAAAATTGGAATCAACTAACAAAATATCACAAAAATAAGGAGTCTAACCCACAAAATTTGGATATCAGCTAAGAAAAATAAGAACTTAACGAACTAAATTAGAACCTTAGCCAGTTGTGATAGGGGACCGTAGACGAAAATCTCATCTCCAGGCAACACGCTGGGCAGCAGATGACCACTTGGTGCCCTCGTTTTTGAAGCTCCAGGGATAGGGCCAGAAATGGCTGGACGTCCCCACCTTGGATCCAGTCGGGTGGATTTGGTTTTTTTAAGCCAAGATGAACCATTAGATTCAAAGTGATTCATGTCCGAAATATATCTAATATGTATACATATATATATATACATATATATATAATCATCTATAATTATATATCTAATATGTATATATATATAATCATCTATATATATAATATGTCCAACATCTTGTATATTTCCATGGGTTCAAACTTCAAATGGCGCCAGGTCCACCCCAAAAATCTCCGTGGCGCCCAGTGCGCAAAAGGTGCCACCAAAAACGTTTCGGTCCGGGTCACGGGTGCCCTTGGAAATGATTCCCACGCGGAGAGCGGCCATGGTTTGGAACGGAGGAAGTCAGCTAAGGCGTCCAAGGCGTCCAAGGCGTGCGAAAATGAGCTGCAGATGAAGGCCCGCGGTTTTGTGCAGCTGACAACTTCAAATCCAGGCATTGCAGCGGGGCGTTTGGGGAGCAAGACTACCATGATGGCCAAGAATATTGAATCAACCAAAAGCATAATTTCAGCTTGATTATTTGAAGCAATGAACCAACCATCATGTTTCTAATTTCTTCTCATTCAAAGGTCTCAAAACCATCCATTCTGCCACACCAAATCGCAGCACGGATCCTGCCCCGTGGACTCAGGCTACCACGACATGCTGCATCAGGCAGGACCTGATGCCCAGGGTACACTTTTTGCTGTCCACCTTGTGATGAGATTCATTCATGTCTACAGTTGTACCGGCAAAACAAGATCAGAACAGCAAGTTCAGAACTTGTTGGTTTGGAAGGCTTTCCAAACAAAAAAAGAAAAGCAATGAACATCGATGAAACTACATTGATGTTTAGGCTGATGCTCTCTTATAGAGGGATGTAATGGAGGTATGATGGGATATATGACGTTAGCAGCCAAATATAATGGCATTATCAATGGTGCTAGCCACACTTGAACAGAAATGGAGTGAGAAGATGCGATCTTCAGGTTATATGAAAGTCGCCATGGAATAATATGCGCAAAATCCCGGCAAGAAAATATTGGAAATGCGTAGATATTCTGAGTGAATCTTAGTACGAGTACAGTAGATCCTACTAGAGGCGGCGTCGCACATAGAAATGGTGGCCACGAGTAGCAAGCTTATGATTCCTGATGTCATCTCCTTTACAAGTGGGCTGTATTGGGCCTTACTTGTCCCCATGGTTTACCATCTGGTTATTTAACATAGCCATGGAAAAAAAAAAACTTGTATAAATGGAGGTATTTATAGTTGGGAAAATCAGCTATTTCTATGGGCCATTTCCATTTACCATGGCTATGTTCTTAAATAACTAGAGGGTACTAGTAAGTACGACAATGCTGTCCGCATTCCTCCAGATGGTAACCATTGATGCATTTTTCCCACACATTAATTGTGGTGGTCCGTGACCATGTACTACTTTGATACCCCCATTGTTTAGATACAAACCCATATATATATATATGTACATATATATATGTATATATATATATACACATACATAAAGTATACAAGCATGTATTGTATCCAACATACATATTAAACGCTATATACTTATATGTGTATGTATATAAGTATATGTATATGTTATTAATGTTGCGTATATGATATGCCCATAGTTTGATACTTCCACATGCCACGCCTTGGACCAGGCAGCTCTTCATGGCACCATGGCTTTCGCCGCAGAAAAACACGGCTGTTTTTCACGGAGGAAATGGGGTGGTTGATGGGATTTAATGGGATTTAATGTTTCTACTTCAATGGGTTCTTCTGGAGATTACCCAGAAGATTATAATGGGATATTACCTCACATATGGTGGTAGATAGCCATACGGGAAACTAACAACTTGGGTTTTTTTTATTGGGAGTGGGGATATAGTGAGGATCTATAGTGGGGATGATGGAAAATGCTGGGATTAGTATGACACAGGTGGACATCCAAAGCAACAACTGGGTATTTTAGTGGAGGATGAATATCCACTATTGGTTGCTATCAATGGGGTGACAATGGATGGTTTATATATGGTTTATGTAGAATGCTTATCACCTGACTTTTGGATAACACAACTTTTTTTTGGACATCCATTAGAGTCTTCATCTGGGGCATTCATCAAGCCGTTGACAGATTGGACACGTTGGATGAAGTCTGGCTGCCTAGGCCGGGGATGACGAGCCGTCCTGGTCAGTGTTTGTTATGTTGACTATCAACCACCTCCTATGTTGATTCAAATTTTGGGAACCATGCTAAAAGGAAAAACTATGATATAAAACACAATTCATTTTTGTTGAAGTTCCATACTTTAAGCAGATTTATTCTGAATATCGGGTAGCCCATTGAATTCACCGCTTCATAACCCTGTGTTGGCGGGATAAATCGCCATTGTCAGATTGTTGGTTATTCTTATATTCCACTATATTCCACTATATTCCACTATATTCCACTATATTCCACTATATTCCACTATATTCCACTATATTCCACTATATTCCACTAATCCCCATATAACATCATATAACACTATATATTTGTTTACACCTCCCTTGTTCCAATTTGTCATTCGTCGAAGCCCGTTCAATCCTCCAAATCCACCGCAGACCGCAGCTCCAAAGCTTCCGATGAGATCGAGTGCGACGCCGATGTTAAGAAAAGATTTCAGGATGGATCAATACCTATGATCTTGCAATATTCATCAGCTATTTTTACATATAGCTGAATATCCAGCTATTTTGGTGTGATACCAATTTTGGATACCTATGATCAATACCAAATATTGTTTACATTGGATGAACATCCAGCTATTTTGGTGTGAACTATCGGGTATTCTAGGGCTTTGATCCATCCACGTCGCTGTAGTAGTGGAAGCCTTCGTGCCTTCTTAGAGCTTGCATTGAGACAAGTTCATCATGCCCAAGATCAATGACTTAGCAAACGTAGCACCATCCGAGCACGAAGACTTGTGAGGTGCTACGGCAAACTGAACCAGCGAGGCAGTCAAAGTCTGCCAGCTCAATGAGCGTTTCTTGGGCTCAAGATCAAGAGGCTGACATGAAACATCATGAACCATGATTTTGACCATCCAAACAAAGCAGTCCCTTCAATCAGTCTACCCTCTGGTAATTTGTTACGTAGCTATTGAAAATGACCATTTATAGTGGATTTTCCCATTAAAAATGGTGATTTTCAATAGCTATGTTAGTTTACCAGAGGGTAAAATATATTAAACAACTAGTTCAGCCGTCTGGATTGACTTCAGCATGACCTCTCAATATTGAGCCATTCTGTGCGAATGAACTTCTTCGCCAGCGCTGTTTAGAGCACTGAGATGGACCTCCCAAAACTGCCGGCAATTCCCACATCAGGGTTTCATAGGGTTTCTATGTGTAGGTATATACTGTTCATCATGATCTCTATATATATATGTATACTGTTCATCATGATCTCTATACACACATGTATATATATAATATATATATATCATTCAGTCTCATTATTGTTCATATTGTCCTTCTTTTCACTATCAGCATGATCATTGTCGGTGATCTCAAACATCAGCAATGACTGCTACTAGCCTTGCATCATTACTTTTCTTGGACGTACTACCATGCCCCCAAACAATGTTTTCAAGGGAAAACGTGTTATCTAAATGATGATAACGAGTACACTGAGATGCTTGCCTGGTTAATTAGTTGTTGTTCACCCCAGAGATCCAAAAAGTCGATCTGCTTAGGGTTGAAAACGAGAAGTCATTGAAACCACCATCCGCTTGTCGGTTCGCATGTAGACGTTCACTATGAAACCCCAGGAATTGTCCTTTCAGAGCAATGAGTTCGTTCGACTACGTGAGGTGGAAAACGGAATCAAAGCTGCGAATTAGTCTAGACTTAGCAGGTCTTGGCTATTCTTTGTTATCAAAACAGGGTATACACAATATTGTCTACATAAAGACATAGACTATCATCAATTCCAAACTTGCTCGGTTCCCTCGCCATTGGTTGGGAAAAAATGTTGCATTGGAAATTTGCCAACATCCACTTCTCAGAGGGTCCTTCTCCAGAGGAGCCGAGTGCATCCCATCCGCGCCAGCTGAAACAGCACCGCCTCCACCCTATTCCCCCAGGGGAAATCGGCACCGTCCCCAGCCCTGACGGCGATACGCAGCACTGCAGCGGGCTCCAGAGGTTCAGCGTTCTGGCACTTTATTTCAGCGGAACTGAGATCCGTTGAGCTGGGAAATTGTGTGGAACTTTGATGGAACCTCCGCCAAATTCAGATGAAACGATCGTATGGATTCGTATGGAAGGTCTGAACCATCCATTTGGAAAGTGAAGTTACGTCAACCCAAGCAAACTCAAACAAAATTACACCACAAAACTGGATCTCAGCTCCTGATGGCTAAGTTAGTTATGCTAAATTCACCTGGCTTTACTTCACTCATGCACCGCCGACCAGGGCTTTCTCCTGGCCATCGGAACCAGCTAATTTGGGGCGAAAGTCATACCTCCAAACAATTGACCCCATCAATGACCAAAATATTGGTTCGAGTGAACAGCTTCAGAAAACATATGGATCTTTGAAATCATCAAATTGGGCCAGTTTTCCATTGAGGTTTCGTTTGTTAAAGCAATTCTAGGATTGGTTCACTCGCCATTTCATGTATCGTTGAATACTATAGACTATATCTATTATTCTATGTTGGGTATCTATCTGTCTATACAATTATCCATCCATCTATGTTGTAAATCTACAAAATACCATCCGCCATTTCCCAAGAGAAGCGTTGGCACAACGGTCACCGTTGGGTCCTCTAGGTCGGCTACCTTGGATTCCACCTAAGCCAATGGAGCTGACGCTGGAGGGTGACATTGAAAATCAGGACAACGATGATGATAACTGTATGTATATATATATGTTATTAGTTATATATATATATATAACTATAGATATGGAATATTCCGGAACAATGATGATGATGATAATGATGATGATGATGATGATGATGATGACGATGACGACGACGACGACGACGACGACGATGATGATGATGATGATGATGATGCTGGTGGTGGTGGTGATGATGATGATGATGATGATGCTGATGCTGGTGGTGGTGATGATGATGATGATGATGATGATGCTGGTGGTGGTGATGATGAGGAGAAAGTATAATGATTATGGATGATGTTTCTACCATGGTTTCTATTAAGATTGCTCATGGTGATTTAAAATTTTGTTCTACACATATGATGTTTCAGATGATGGTAAAATTTGATAATATATATATATACTTACGCTTCATACACTATGGCACTACGGTGTTTTACGTGACATGTCCAAAAAGGAAGCAGAAACATCCTGCGCGGAAGTGGCATCAAATAATTATATAATTAAGGTAGATACGTCGGATCAACTCACACATGGCACTACGAATTATGTCAAAGCATGAGTAACATAATAAACAAACAACATAACTAGTACTACTAACAAATAAAATGTATATCATATATCATTTATTTTAAAAAAAAAACATAAGTAGTACGAATGAATAATAAGTACTACTACTAATAGACTAATAGATAAGAAAGATATAAACATACTATTCACCCGCCCCAAGCGACACCTCTGCACTGGGATCCGAAGCCTGGCTCAGCGGGGCTCAGCGGCTCGGCATCTGGGGAGATTTCAATGGGATTTAACCGATTTAACCATTAAAAATTGGGATTTAACCATCAAAAATGTGGATTTAACCATTAAGAATTGGGGATTTAACCCATTTAAAGTTGGGATTTAACAATGAATCCTGAAAAAATGGAGGACTTTCATATGGATTTGCTTGGGAATCTAAGGGAACATTACCAAGAATCTGTAGAATCTGATATGTGGCTTTGCCTGAAAATGCGGCGCACCCGAAAAAATGCCAGTTTCATCGGAAAGATGGTGAGAATCCATTGGAATTGTGGGGTAGCCCTTATTTTTTTGGCAAACCCATATGTATTTTAAAAAAAAATATGGGATGGTCATGGCTGGTTTACGAATGTTTACTATCTTGAAAAAAGGATGGATGAGTCCACTAAGCTTATGAGTCCAACAGCACAGAGAATATAGGGTTTTATTTAAAAAAAACAGAGCAAACAGAAAAAAACAAACTAGAAAACCAAAATCAAGAAACAAACACAATAAAAACAAAAAAAAACTGAGAAAATCAATGCGTTGATTTTTTTGTGTGTGTGCTGTCGATTTTTTTTTGGGATTCTGTTGTTGATTGTGATTTTGTTGTGTTTTTGTTTTTTTGGCTAAAATCAACTTTCTCTGTTGAAACTGGGGTCATAACACTAAGCTCATATCCAAAGAGGAAGAGACACACCTCCACTGAAGGTGTACGGAGAATTCAACAACACACAGCAGCCCAGCCAGGCATCGTCCATAAGCATGTCGTCGACCCAAAAAAAAAAAGTCAGAATCAAAAAGCATGGATCTAACCATCGAAAATGGCAGTTGAATCATCAAAAGTTGGGATAAGATCATCAAAGAAATTGGAGGGATTTAACCATTAAAAATGGTGATTTAACCATCAAAAATGGTGATTTAACCATCAAAAATGGTGATTTAACCATCAAAAATGTGGATCCTGCACCAACTCATGCTCCGTCTTCAACTCATCTTCTAGGTACCCAGTTTGCGGCATGGACATGTCTGGTGAAATCTCCGGTTTTTGATGATCAAATCCGCCATTTAACTGGAAACCTCCGTTTGCCGGTGAAATCCAGTGTTCTCTTGGTGCAAGTTTGGATCATGTTGAATCCTCTATTACTATGTTCGCATCTTATTTTCAAAGGAAGTAGACCTAATCTCAATTTGAGATAGAATATGTTCAAATCAATTCGTCCCCATTTCCACAAGAAAACCCAGCTGTTTAGTCTGATGTTCTTCCCCACTCCTCTGAAGGCCCCGGTGACACCAAAACAGCACCTCTTCCATGGGCGACTCGGCCGGATGGCTCGCCTGCCAGAAGTTACTACAACTTGGATAAAGATCATGACATCATATATTTACCCAATAATATGGACCTAATCATAAGTGTGTATATACATATATATATATATATTGTACCATACTCCGTGTGTAGTTTTGAAACAATTCGATGATAATTCTGTATATATATATATACATAATTATACATATTGTTCCTGGATATTTGGATTTGGCATATGGGCATATTTTCAGAAAACAACTGGATCGTGGTTTAGGAATATACATGTCATTACATGTCTATATCTACATATCCGATGTCATATATACATCAAGGCCACTCGTGTCCAGCTGTCCAAGCTCTGGCGATCAAAGATTTGGCTGTGACGATTCGTACAGTCGAACGGGATCAAAAAGCCCAAGCTTTTGACCAGCAAAGCCTGTTGCATGAAGCAGTGAGAAGAATACTCACTAAAACACAACCAAAAACCTATGAATTGAAAATGGTTCTGGGATTTCCTCAACCAATTCACCATCTGATTCCTCGACCTCCTTTGGCGCGTCTACCGGCTGCGCCTAACGGAGGGTTTGAAACAGGAATCTCATGGGCCACTGAGGAATCATCAACATCTCTTCTACAAACATATGTATAATTCACATACATGTTATATATATACTATCATTATTAGTATTAATCTTAGACATGATTACAATATAATACAATCTGCTGTAATTAAGTATCATGTACGATACATATATATATATACATGTATATACGTATTTTCGCTAGACATATATTTCATTATTTTTCCCTGTGGGTGGGCTATGGCCAAATCCAAATGCAAGGACCCTGCTGTCCCTGAATCTGTTGGCGCCTCAGAGGCTTCAGCTTGGGCAGCATCTTCCATCTTGGAATCCTGCGGAACAGCGTAGAACTGTGATGGAATGGTCAGATTGGTTCGTACTTGGGATATCTCATACCAGTAAATGGCTGGTCAAATCTAGTAAATGGTGAGTGAAGTGGTAATAAATGGTGAATATCTATATATGAATATCTCCATATATCTCCTGTACCACGAACTTCAAACCATTTCAGTAACATGTCTCGTCGAGGCCCCTGTAGGGTTCATCCCAACAACCCCAGCATTTCTGGCCACCTCTTCGCCGTTCGCTGCCTCGTTGTTCGGCTGTTCCACCTCTGACATGGAAAGTGGATGATGCACACAGTAGCTGGGTCCGCAAAACGTTGGTTGCAATGCCTTTGGAGAATTGAAGGACTTTCCAGAAAATTTAAATTGCCCAAACAAGTCGAAGAGTCAACCACCGATGGAAAGTAGTGCACAAATCGAATTTCTGTTTTCTTTGGGACCCCCAGGGAGCAGCTATTGCAAGCCTGAAAGTGACAGAATTTGCAGGGAAAATCGGGAGGAGGTTTTCCTATCGCCTCCGAAGGCTCCACTTCTTTGGCGTCATCCTGCGTCTTCACATCCTCGGGTCCAGCCATGGTTCATGGAGCAAGTGGAGCAAGTGGAGCAAGTGGAGCAAGTGGAGCAAGTGACATGAATGACACGCAATCGGATGAATTCTATGATTGATGGTAGATACATTATGGAATTATGTATAATGTAGATATAATGAACATCAATGAACTATTAGTCAATGGGTTTTTACACCAACAACCACGACATCACCTTTTTTGGGAGTTCTTATGTGATGGGGGACCCCACCATCCAAGTTAAAATGCGCGTTGTGCCTCCAGCTTTGATCCAACTTCCGTACTATCAGCAGCCTGGCGTAAAATCTCAATGGACCAAAGCTGGGTAAATAACTGGGATGGTTGATGACCAATAAATGGGGGTCGATCTCACGGCATTCGCGGGGTTTTCATTTTTGACATGCGAGTTTCCCTTTCTTACTGTTTCTTTCCGTATGTTTCGTTGGTGAAATCCTCTGTTGTTGTTGGTGACCAGTTTCAGCTGCTACAAAACGGCCATTCTTTGTTGAGTCCCCATATCCCATGACCTGCCCCAAACAGCCCATCAATTCACCTCCACGTTTGGTGGTGCTTCATCAGCGTCCTCGCAGTTGGTATGGGGACCCTCCAGCAATCTGACTTGGCGAAAATCCCCTGTTTACATCGATCTGATCCAGTTATAGATGGTGTGAGATTTCCCGTTGCCATGTTTGATTCTCTGTGCCTAAAAATGGATGCCTGGCGCTGGCAGTAAAAACCCATCCCGGCCTTGGCAGCTGCGTCAGCCTGCTGCAGGTGAGATGGAGCTGGAGCTTGCGTCTAACAAACTAACCAACCCTAGAGGGGATTTGCACTGAACAACCTTAAAAATGTATCGGAAATGGGTTTTTAAAGCAAGAAATAATTGGGATGGGGATTGGATTTGATAGAATCACCACAAAATATATACAAGAATTGAATCGGCCGAAATCCAAAAGGTTGTCTTGGTTGACTCTTTGACCATCAAAAGTGGAGGATCAAGCAGCTAAACTGTGCCAACTTCAATCGATATGTTCAATATCTTTCATTTTCCTATGATTCCCCATAAGGTAACCCCCCAAAATATTAAACTGCCTACTAAAATAAAGATAAATTACATGTCTATGGCATTTCTATCTTTTTGAGGGTCACTACACTTGTTTGGAATCTCTTGCAATCTGAAAATCTCGCTGCCCACGCCTCAGATGAGTTCCCTGCAGCTGCAGCGGGAGCCTGGCAGAGGAGATGCTGGAAATGCTTCAGGGATCAGGGGACCAACTTCACCTTGTGAATGGTTGGGTTTTATAGTAAAAATGGTGGTATAAACAAGCAATCATGGGGATATCTACAGGGATGAGGAGATAACGAAGCATCTGATATCTGAATGTCTCTGATAATGGGATATACCACCAAACAGATGACAAAATGCTGGTTCATCGGCCTCTTGCTGCGCGCTTTCTGTCTCTGGATGTTCCAGAGCCTGATGTACCTGCCACAGGCTGCGCTTTGCATTGTGACTGTATCCTCACTTTGGGTTCGTGAAATACATGGCATTGAAGGTCAAGAGCATCAATAATTAATTAAATGTGTGAGTATCAGTGGCCTTCAATACTGACCCCCCCTTTCCTCGTGTTGAAATCAATCATTTGGTGGTGAAATCACTATCATCCTCAACTTTACGGCAAATATGTGAGCTGTTTGTTTACGTCCCAATTAGCTGCTGCACCCCCCTTGGTTATCTTGGTTGTTGGTTGTGTGAACGCCTAAGTTCCCAAGGTTTAGCCGGGTCAACCCCCATGGTTTGACATGTTTTCTTGGTGAAAAACCGACTGCTGTAGCTGCCACCTCAGACTTCTCCGGTGCCACAGAATCCACGCCCTAGGCGACAAGGGAACCAGGTGGCTAGTTTTGGAGGGTGAACCCTACTGGATTTAAAGTATCAGCTGAGTGCCTTGCAGTTTGGGTTTGGACTTTCAACTCTTGAAAATTTGGACATGTGACTCAAGGCTTCATTGAGAAATAAAGCTGTCCGATATCAGAAAGTGTGGGACACGAAAAATCTGACGTTTCAAGCCTTTGGAAAACCGATTGGTTTTAAAACCCATTCAAAAACCATTCAAAACCCATTAAAACCCATTAAAACCCATTCAGCCCCTTTGTTCTCCCCATGAGAAACACCTCTTGGGAACCCCCGGGCAGCCTCCTCTGGCTTGCAGCCTCCCGCCTCCGGATTCTCCACATTGATGGGAAATCGTGGGGAATCTCCAAAAAAAGGATCTAATGGGGAGTCACATTAATCTAATGGGGGTATAACATGGTACCACGAAAAAGATCACACTCCGAATTTCTTCCAAGTCCAATTCGGTCTACTGGGGGTATGCCATAATTTCTGGCACTATTATGAGTGTTTGTTTGTGACGCGTCTCATTCAGAGTTGTTCTGGGCGCGTCTTAAAATACGGGGTATACCGTATACCCCTTTTTTGTGGCTGTTGAAAAAGAAAAATGATGATGGACCATCAGATTTTGACGTACCGCACCCTATTTTCAAACAAACCCCTGTGACATCAATCCTGTGCTAAACCAGAATGAACCCCCATTGATTTTTGAAGTAAACTTACATACCCCAATATTCTCAGGCTGAACTCCCATTTACGGGAGAGAAACACACATAAAAAGCAATGTGTCAAGCCTTTGTAGCACGTCAGGCAGATTCAGGCAGCATTACTGCCACTGGTGGACTGCAGTTCAGCATATCCACACGCATATTCAACTGCCAACAGTTCATCTACACAGATCTGGGGTACATCTTCAAAATTTGGCACTTCGTCACAGCTTTCATCCATGTACCTGTAGATGATGCTGTTGTGTGTTGGCATTGCTTGCTTCACATGGTCACTGTATTCAACGGTGAAGACGCTCTGGTGATCGTCACGGGTTGACACAATAGTGGCATTGATGGTATTCTTGCCATCTACCTCTGTGTTCATGGTTCCATGCATCCTTGTGTTGTGCGAAGTGACGATGGTGGGCGTTTTCCAGGACCAAACGCCTTTGAAAGCTGAATCCAACATGAACTTCTCCTCTGCTTGGTGGTTTGACCCCAAAATCGATTTGTGAGTTGGGATTACTTCTGATTGAATCTGATTAGTTTGTCATCCGAAATGGATCCAAACATTTAAAATCATGTAAACATAAAAATAAGACCACCAAACAGTCCTGAACTTCCACAAAGGGGTCGATGTAGCCCTTGTTTCGCGGCTCTTTAGACATCAAGCACCAGGAAAGAATCTGGGTCCCCTCCTCATCGTAGTCCGTCACGAAGAGGTATCTTGACACCATGCCACTGAGAAGGCTGTTCCAACCCACAAAGGTCGTTCGTCGATGATCTGCACCGCTGTTTGGCTTTTCTTGGAACTTCAAGAGGTGCTCCGAAACAGCTGTGAGATACCAGGCAGTAGACTTGTAGGACACGTTTCCAGTGCTGCTCCATTTCACAGCACCATCGGTAGTGACGCGGGCAGATACCTGGCTGCTGATATTTCCCCGGTAAACTTCATCACTTCATCTGTTCAGTGGGTGACTATTCAACCATCGAAGAGTTGCGTTTCATCTCAAACCGACGAGTGTTGTTTCATCAGTTTCATCTCAAACATAGGAGAAAGAATTGAGTCCCTTCGAGCCATCCCCTCACCTTCGCGGATGACGGCAGCTGCAATCCCGGGTGCTCAGACTTGTCTAGGGTGATTCGGGTCGCAGTCGCTGCGACCAGAAGAAGAATGCCAAGAGGCAAGTAAGATGTATTTGGCATACTATACAAGGGACCACTGGGCCCACTGAAAGACCTGAATGGCTGATGACTCAACTTGGGCCGATCAACACGCGAGAGCTGTATGACTATAGATGGCGTTGTCCCCAAAATCCTCTTGTCATCATGCTCCCGATGGCCAAACAAATGCCATATATGGCCATGGGCAGCAGATGGTCACACCGGGATGAACATGATGAACTCTGTGCCAAAATCTCCAGCTTATCCCATCCCACCATCCATTGCTGGCATGAGTTCATTCTATAGCCATTCACCAGTTGCTTTACCCAGCATCCAATGGCTGGTGAATGTCCCATCTTTCATGGTTTTTCCAGGGCGAAGTCCCCAAGGCTCCCTCGGAATTCACCACGGCAACCAATGCTCGATATATTTCTATCATGTTCTATCCATGATTTCATATGATTCCCATGAACAAGAGGTTTTTCCTTATAGGAAAGGGAATATATTCCATTATATTCCCCAATGCCCTAATTTGTTTTGGGGTTGTCCTGGAAAGCCAGGGTGAGGCTTTCAGAGAGGCTATATATCATCAGCTCCCTGCCTGACGCTGCTCCAGCATTGTCATGACTTCATCCAGGCCTCCCCAGCTGAAGCCCTAAAGGATGACCCATTTTGGAGGGTGAGTCGTTGAGCCATATCCAAGTAAGCTGAAGCAGGTCTCCTGGCCTGGTGCGATTGTTGGCTTTATCAGAAAATCTGTGGCCTGTTGAAGTTTTGAGGTCAAATGATCAATTTACTCTACTTCTTCCCAGAATATCTCTTCCAAAGCCTGGGAAAAACGTTCAGGTACCTGCAAAACTTTGGCTCAGCTTTGTCTTGTCACGAACTTCATGCACTCGCGGTTTGTCACATGCACTGTGCGGTAGGTGCGACTTGCGACGTGGCACCGCCCCGGAGAATTCGTTCCGTTGGGGTTTTTTGCGGTGCCCTGTCGTCGCCCGCCCTGGCGTTGGTCGTGATGGTGCTCAAAATGGCCGCAGTGGCGGCGCTGTGGGGTGCCTGTGGGTTTGTCCGAAAATTGGGGAATTTACCATCCATATCTGGCATATCTGGCCCCTGGGCCCTGGGCAAAATGACGATAAATGATGATTCACCAATGGATTTTGAAGGTCCCCCATGTTCAAACAAACCCCCGAAAACGGAAGGCACCCAGGGAGGTAGCTACTGGGATGATCTCGAAATTCTGAGATGTGCGGTGACATCATACACTAATTTGAGGGATCATCCCAGCGCTTTTTCAAACCTCATCAGCCTCATCAGTATATCAATGTGTATTATGACATGTATGTGTGTATATATATATATATCATTGTATCGGTATCATGTCTGAGCCTGTCTGAAACTGAAGTCAGTCTACACATCCTCTTCAGACATCAACCAAAAAACACCATCTCCCACAAGGGATCCTCAGATCCAGCCAACTTTCCAGGGGACAACAAGTCGATCTGTACAACCTTTCGCCGGAGCAGCGCCATGATGGGGCCAGGCGGGGTCCCACCAGCGCCCAGCTCCCTGCGAAAACTCTGAATTCTTTTCGCCGCAACGGGCGCCAAATCACACGGATCCTGCTGTTTCCCCGAGAAACATCACCAGTTTAGGGGGCCATTGCACAACTCAAACATTGAAGCACCAGTTGGTGAACCTTATCATGTTTGGGATGTAGTCTTCATAAAATGTCTCCATAGTTGAAAACCCCCCAAGAATGGGGAAACATCAGGACCCCTCAACCGAACTACTAACCTTTTTGGGGGAGGATTTCGCCTCAACGGGCGGGCAAGTTGAGCCACTGCAACGGGCGCACCGTGCAGCCTCAGGATGCGGGATGGCAGGGTGCTCCAAGGAAAAGGCAGCTACTCAGCAAGACAGAAATCAAATTGGAGGTATCACGACAGTCCCATCAGATGAAGGTCCTTGTCACCAATCATTGCCTTTCACAAACATCTGGAGTTTGAAGGTCTCAACATCAACATCTCAACCGCAAGATATTTAACAGAATATCCACAGCTTCCAAGAACATCATCTCAACATATCTCAACCATTTTCCCATTGCCAAGGGGCGCTCCAGCGAACTAAACCACAAGTTTCAGCTCCAACAAAAAGCGGAGACCGTGTTTGGACTCTTCAAGCTCCTTTTGATGTTGCCTCGGCTGGGCCAGTAGGGGAACTGGGGAAAGCCAAATGATCTCGTTGGTTTTTTCCCTATGATATCCCCCAGGATATACCCTATGCTCTGCAGTGTTCATTGCTTTAAGCCCCATGTTTGAGACTTTGAAATCCACCACTCCAATTAAAGTTTCGATACTTGGAATCCCAACAGTTCCACTGAAAGCCACCATTTTTTCTGGTCCAGTGACTTAAAAAGCCGCATGGCTCCCTCATAATTGACTCGTTCGTCTCGAAGGAGCGCACGGGCCACGAACGAACCGTAGGGCGTCTTGGCCAACCTCCGGCGAACAATGCTGAAAACCATGGGGTTGTTCGATGTTGTTTTCCCGTGAAATATATGAAATGAAAATATATGAGAATAAGAAAAAATATACACCTCAACGTTCACTGAAAGCAGTTTATCAGTTTCTCCAAATCTGGAGGGAAAATCAATGAAAATCATGTCACGGAAACAGCCCTTTTCTCGGGGAGTGAAGCAATAGAAATTGGGGCATGCTCGTCTCTGACATACTTTGGGGATAGATGATAGAAGCATTATTTGCAGCATATACCAACAGAAAAGGGGAATATGAAGCGACATGGATTTGGCTTGTGCTGGGTTCAAATCGAGACTTTGCCGATGGAGCCGTCAGAAATCTGAAATGTGGTGGCAGGTTGCAAGGGATCCCCACGCCGTAGATAGTTCATGTTGATAAGGGCTGCTGGGACATGACTAACCGAGATGCTACCTAGCTGAAAGACGTCCTCTTTACCATTCACATCCATTCACCCCCTTGTTTCACAAGGCAAAACACATCAAACAACAAGGAATTACAGGCTTAAAAAAAATATCTCAAAATCCCATCCTTAATGGTCCATCAAGCCACTATACATATCTTAAATGTCGCATTCTGCTTGAAATTGGTCAAGTTGCGAAAAGGAAATCCCCTGCCGTTGCCCTAAACCCTGCCATGGCACTCCAGCAGCTTGGGCATCGTTCCGAGGGAGCGGATCAACTTCTCTTGGTCGCGCTCGCTGCAGTAGCACAGCACCTGGGACCCCCCTGGGGAAATTTCTTCTAGTCCAATTCTGAAAAAAAAAAAAAATAGGGAAGCTAGGGAACCTATGGAACCTAGGGAACCTAGGGAACCTGGGGAACATGTTTTAGGGCATGGGATGGACCATTGCGCCTTCTCGATGAGGTAGCTGGAATGTTTGTGGGTCGCAAACCTGCAATGCAATTCCAACACTGGAGGTAGACTTGGGTCATCTGGGTCAGTTCAAGTTCATTTCAGACTGCACATGCGTCAACACGTGGCTCTGGGTTGGATTGTTTTAGTTGAACACATCAGTTTTTCACCTTTGGGAGAGGGAACTTTGGAGGCAAGAGATGTCGAGGGGGATACAGCTCGAGATTTCATGCCCATCCTTCACCAATTGATGGGTTGGTGTTCTGTTTGTATATTGCTCAAGAATGGGGTGTGAAGTTTGGCCGTTTTCACTATTGAACAATGCAATTCTGGGGTTCAACATTTGGGATGCACACTTTCCCCATCATGAGAAATCTTAGATAGCCTGCATGTTGACTAGGAGTGAAGTACTGCCAACCATGTATAGCAACAAAGGAATCATAACCCAGCAACATGAAACAGAACACAAATGTGTTGTTGATTTTTGTGCCCCTACTTGGGAGGATTTGCACCCCCCTACCAGGTAAATTCCAGTCCCACAGCACCGCACCGCATCGCCTGAATCCATCCAACAGCAAGGCATCAGCGATCCGCTCCTTGTGCTCAGCCTGGCACATTCATTTGATTAACAAAGAGTGAGGATGATGAGACATACATGTTGAATTGAATATTGGTGATATCCACATGGTTGTTGATTTGTTGATGAACATTCCATGCAAGGATTAGTTGGCTTAATCCCCAACTTATCGCGGTTCAATGTCCACTTGCGGGTGTTTAAACATGTTCGCTGCAAACCCTACGTTTGAACCGTGCCAGAAGTCAACTGAAGTTCAGAGGGGGTGAGGGATTTGATCCCTTTTGAAGAGAAGTGGAAGTTAATAAACAATTCAACATATATGTTCAGAGGGGTGGCGGATTTGATCCCTTATGAAGAGAAGATTCCCCTAGTAGAAAGCGTCCCTGTTAAACTTATAGATGTCTCAGCCAGATACCAGGATTGTTTGAAAGCAGCAGGCTACAGTCTTTACTTGTGTCGCCAGAGAGTAGCGTGTTTGGAGGGTGCAGATAATGTTTGATTTCGAGAGATCTTGTGGGTTATGGTCGAACGTGGGGTTTGGCGCCAACATGTTTTAACCTGGAACTTCTAATGCTTCAATTCTCAATTCTTGTTGGATTATACATTGTAATCAGTTCCATGGTTCAATCTGCATTTTTAGTTCAACCAGTTCAATCCTACTCAATCCTTCAATCTCCAAGTTTTGCAAAATTTCGCCAAGTTCAGCTATCTTCAGCTCCCGCCTTGCCATGCTCAAGGACTGACTGGATCACATGGTGTGCAAAGCTGTGTTGGCATAGGCTGCCCACGTCCTTCAGCAATTCATCGATCAAGTCCCAGGTGGCACCACTTCCACGAAACTCCTGGACCAATGGCCGTCATAAACAGATATATATATATTACTATATATATATATTACTATGTATATGTATATGTATATGTATATGTGTATGTATATGTATATGTATATGTATATTATATTATATTATAATATGTAGATTATATTGTATTATAATATGTCTATTATATTATATTATAATATGTATATTATATATATTATATTATTTTATATTATATTATATTATAATATATTATAATATGTATATATTATTATATTATATATTATATTATGTATATATTATATTATGTTATATTATATAATATTATATTATATAATATCATATCATATCATATTATGTTATAAATATAATTTTAATTATAGATATAATTATAATTATAATTATATTATATTATATTATATTATACATTATATACACATATCATTGATATTGTTTGGCTGCATGGTTCCTCAAGTCTAGCCTGGTTCCTGATGGTCCTGAGTCCTGATCTCAAAACTTTCTCGGATTGCAACAAAACAAGAAAGATCACCTCGGGCACTACCATGTTTCCCATGTTTTCCACCAAAAATCTCCAGGTCTCCCTATAAATCATCAATCATAAGCTCAATCAACAAATTCCGCTCCAGAAGTCGGCATAAGATGCGGCAAGCTTGGCGATTCTTGGCGGCAGGCACCGCCCAGCCCTGCAATTCGCGCGCGATGAACTCACTGGCAGAACACGAAAGGTGCGAAATCACTTTTTGCACCTAACGGCTGGGGACGGCTGGGCCTGTCCTGACAAAAACCATGTTCTTACCAAAAAAAACATGTTGAGGTGGTCTGTTTGAATCTTGTTCACATCATCGAATTCTAGAAATGTCCAAGGGGATTATATGAGGATGTTGTTTAATTATTCTGATAAAAGAGAGGAATATATCCTCTTCAAATCTATCCTCCATATGAATGTAAGGACTGAATTATGAATTGTAATCATGGTTGTGAACACTGTGGAGAAAATACATATTATGTGTTGGTGTGTCTTGAAATAGCGTACACTAAAATCTTACGGTTTGTCATCATTCTCCTCATCAAGAGTGCGATTTGGCGTGTCTGTTTCTTTGAACATCCGCAAAGAAATGCTGGGCGATGACAGTGATACTGTAGAAACCACCCATCCTGCCCCAAAGAAAAATTGAAACCTATACAAATATATAAAACATGCATATATATATATATATATACATTATATATATATATAAAGTAAATATATATATATATATGTACATATATCTTCACCAAACATGTTCACAGCCCATGAAGCTTCATAACTCTCCCGATTTTCACCAACCAGCCACCCTTCACAACCGTGGCTTCCCCCCGAGTGAAACATGGCGAATCTCGCCGAGCTGCCACGAAGTTGCCATGGGGGCAGGTCGATAGCTCCCAAACACGGCCCTGGATGTGAGTAGCGTTAACATATTACACAGCAGCTTACCTATATCAAGTTGCATTAGTCACATCAAACTGTAAAAATACTATACATATATATATATTATAATCATAGTAATAACAATAATAATAACAATATTAACATATAATAACAACTAATGACACAAATGTCATCAAATTCTCCCAGACTTTGTCTACATACAGCAATTCTTGGAAGATGGTGTCCATTGCTCAATGGCTCAAAATCAGGCCCCATCCCCCAAAGCAAGGTTTGTCCAGCAACATTTACTCCGGTTGGAACCTGGCATCATTTGGGGGTTCCGGGGATCCGCAAAATGTATTCACCCATTTTAGGAAATGTCCATTTATCAATCTGGAAGAAAATATCAACACGTTCCAATTGTGGCTAATAGCAACTATATATATGGCTAATCAATAGCAATTGTATGGAGACAAAATTATCTATACTTGATACTACACAATAATAGTTGATAGCAATTACAGCAATTAACCATTATAATAGTTATTGGGAAAATTGCTATAATTGCTATTAACTATTGTTAATCATAACCATTAATAGACAGTAATAGTTGTGGAAAAATAACCTCCAAATCCCACGGTTCATCATCATTTTCCCTTCCGCAGATGGTCAAAATCGGGAGGTGTACCCCATTTTGACACACCCAAATATCAGAGTGTTGATCATGTGCCTATCATATCCTCAATGTTTTTGGTTTACACCTCTATGTTTCCATTATTGAATTGATTGGCTAAGTAGCATTTTCCTAACATCTGGATTTCCCAATTTCCCAACATGTTCCCAACATTATCCTAACATTATCCCAACATTGTCCTAACACATTCACCATTTTCCCAACACTTTCCGAACATTTCCGCAGAAAAAATGGGCGCCGGCCGCCTGCAACTCCTCAGCAAGGCGTTGCCCCTCGCGGCTGCTACAGCGCTCCAGCACCTGGTTGTTTCAAAGTGCCAAAATTGTACCACCTGGCAATTGGTTTAGATGAAATATGAGGAAAATATGATGAAAATTACTGTTGGTTCTTATTGATGATCCAATCTTTATCCAATTTTGTGATCATATCTAGTGACCTAGTGCATGTTGATCTTGTAAAACACGATTGTCTCCCGGGGATCCTTGGTGAGATCTCAGGACGCATGGCCCTGGGCCTCTTGCAACAGGCGGCAGTGAGAAGGATCCCGAGCCAAGTCGTAGACCTAGGTCAGAACCAGGAACCCAGCGAGTCCCAGGGGAGTTCTGGATTATGTTGGATTGTTGCTTTGAACCTTGGGGACTAGCTATGTAACTATGTATTATGTCCCTTGGATTATGTCACTGGTTTGGGGATGGACTTTTTGTCAACAAGTCATGGGTCGGCAACCAATGTAATCCACTGAAACCACCTTAAGCAAAGATAGAACCTCACAGTAATTGGTTTTGATCCTGTCCCTGTCCCGCAAAACCAGCTGTAAATAATGCAGGGTTCATCCCCAACGGTTCGAAGCCCTCCCAACCAGCTGTAAATAATCCTGCCATCCAAGCGCTGTACAGCCGTGATAGCCAGGGTACATGGCCACGCATTTGTCCAGCCACGCCGTTGGGATCTGTTTCCAAACGTTTGCGCAGCTGGTCCATGTCGAGCTCTTCGGGATAGGGATTGGGATCTGCCTGCACTGGCACAAAAGTTGCATGAATGGATCCCCGTCTTCTGCCATTCAAGTTGAGCTTCAAGCTCCATGTTTAGGTGATTCAATGTGTTCAATGCTCATCTTTTGCTGGTTCAACTGCTGAATGATAATGATTCATCCAGCTGAAATGTTCAGTGATTTTGGGGCACTTCGTCTTAGTACCCATCATTTCTGGTGATCTCTGCCAGTGATCGTCGTTATCTACTATCATTATGCAATATGTCAGCCAGATCTTTTGCTGCAGCCCCAATCTTTTGGCAAAATTTCCCAAAATCTTCACCTCCACAATTTCCCAAAACTAACCTTCCCGGATTTCCCAACAAAAGTTTGCTTACACACGCTGGTGCATTCGTTCACCTCTGAATCTCTTCCCGAACTTCCCATGTTTTCTTGGATGAAGCCTTCAAATCCGGCCGCCAACATCCATCCCCTTCAAATCACCAATTTCGTTGAAACAAAACCCAAAGTTTGCTCCAAAGTCATCAACAAATCACTCAATTGATCCAGAAATCCACCCATGTTTTTTCTAGAAATCCCAAAATGGTATTAAGATTCTCCTGATCTTGTTCCAGAGATTCCCCCAGAATTTGGGCGTCAAAATTGGGTTTACAATTGGATGCTTCATAATGGCTATATTAGTGAGCCAATTGGCTTTTTGTATTGCATGGCACTCAATTATTTCATACACCCAATCAGCTTATGAATAGCCAAATTGCCAATTGGATTATAGATGATTAAAAAAAAAAAACATATGGAACCTTTATTGGATTATAGCCAATTGGATTGATTATTGCCAATAGGATTATAGCCATATTTTACAATATGGAACCAATGAAAAACAATACCAATTGGCAAAAATAAGGCCATATAGATGATTAGCCATATGGAACCATAATATCACTACAGCCATTGCTATTAGGTGATTGGAAAACTCTAAGTAGCTCCTTGGCTCCCCATTTAATAGGGAATATGAATACCCCTGGCTCCTTGGCTCCCTACCACTGGATAGATTGGAAAACCCCCAAAATAGCTGGTAAATGGATGTTCATCCACCTCAAAATGGTATTAATAGGTATTGATCCATAGCCATATGGAACCATAATATATGGCCATTGGAACCATTTACAGCTAATCTGGTTTTCCAGAGGTGCCAATATATGGTATTAACCATAGCCATATCACTACAGCCATTGGAAAACCCCCAAAAAAAAATATGGCATTGGAAAATATGGAATATAAGCCATCTATTAGCCAATAGATACAGCCATTGGAAAACCCCCGAAAAAAACAACGAAAAAATTGGCACCTCTGCCTGGCGCTGGCGCTCCGAGGCGCGCTTGCGGCGCAAGCGCCGCGCGGCGCTGGAGGTGGGACGGCGCTCGGAGGTCTCGGTGTCCTGGCGAAAAAAGCTGATTTCGGTCCTGAAAAAGTCTAAAAAACCAGGGAATATCTGGAAAATTTTGTAGGGTTTGATGGATGTTTGATGGATGTTTGATGGAATTTTGATGGATTTTGCAGGGTTTGATGGATCTTTGATAGTTTTTGATGGAGTTTTGATGGATTTTGCAGGGTTTAATGGATGTGTGATAGGTTTTTGATGGAGTTTTGATGGATTTGGGATCGATGTTCATGGATTTTGGATGGAAAAATGGGTGTTGATGGGAACTTTTCGCAGGGCCTAATGAATGGATGTTCATGGACTTGATTGGTTCTGATGGACTTTGAAGTATCATCACCATCTTCATGGACTTAAGGTGGGGTGCCATTCCCCTATTTTCAGGCATATATATATATATATATGATGCACAAATCAGTATATCAATCAGTAGATAATCATGATATCCCCCATTTTCTACCCATGATCTCCGCGTCTTTGTTGGTGTTTCTTGGTTTTTGGACCAGTCCCCCAGTCATGTTCCGGACCTTGATCACCTGAGCTGCGGAATCGTCCATGTTTTCTTGGGCCTCCAGGTCTGCCTAGGGGCTCGAAACTGTGGAAGTGTGGTGATATCTTGTGGATAGTTGTTTTGGTATATGTATATATATATATATGTTTATGATTGCATTATATCTATCTATCCATCCATCCATCCATCCATCCATCCATCTATCTGGCTAAATGTATGTATAGAGTATAGAGTGTGTATTCTGTGTGTGTGTGTCCACACCAGCGAAATTGGGTTTCAATAGACATTATATCTATATAATTGATCATACATATATATATATATATACACATATAGTATGATAAACTGCAACTATTTATCTGAATGAAGTGCAATAATTCACCGAGCTGAAAATAGCTGGCTTGCTAAAGCCAATGGGATGATTCCAATGACATTCACCATCATTTCAGTGACGTCATGAGGTCATTGTAGTAATTGATTCATCTAGAAAATTGTATATCGTTGTATATCTGTATACAACTCATATGTGGGGGGGGTATTTTGGGGCCTCAAATATGTAATGGTCAAAACATTGAGGACACCCCAAATCATGGTAAGAGTTCCTCCTACATGGACCAAGTTTGGATTCCACGCGCTTTCAAGCTTGCTCTGCCAGAGTGTCCATCCCAAAGAGGTGCAGGAAATGCAAAGACGGCAGACACCCTAATGGTTGTGTATCATCGCTGCGAAAAAAAAAGACGAGGAGAAATTGAAATGTTCCCAGTATGAACCAGCCGTCACCTTTGAAGGAATCCCTCTATCACACCTGTTTTTTTGTTCAATGCCGTTTTTCCATGTGAATTTCCTCATGCCCCGGTCTGCGCTCTGCCCACCTCACCACCGATCGGTTCGTCAGACCAGCTGGTCCTGAGTTGAACACTGTACTCTCAAAGTACTACTGAAAAACCGTCTGCAACAACGTTACGTGCGACAAAATGGAAAACACAAATGGGCGCAAAACCCTAACACTCAGGTGCTGCCAGAAAAAAGAACACAATGGATGACAATGGATGACAGGTCCAAGATCACAGAAATGCAGAAACAAAAAAAACTCGACAAGTTCTGAAAATAGTTGTGACCCACCCACATCATTGAGAGTCACAAAATACCCTTCAACCTTAACACATACAAAGTGTTGCAGCTATTTGCTGATTGTCCCCACAAACCAACAACTTTCCCAGAATCTGAAGATTTGTATGGTTACATTGCCACTATCATATTATGTTTGTTATATTCCCATCATGTATATATCACATATACCCAATACATATGGACCATTCCTAAAAGATGGGTCCCCCTAACCCTCCAGCCATTGGACCACTTTACTATTGAATGCCATGGTCTTGGGGACCCATCCCATGCCCCATGCCAAGCCACTTGGTGCCGTTCACGGCCATCGGCTGCACCGCAGGCACTGGCACCGCAGGCGCCGGCGCCACGTGCGGCGGCAGGGGCGCCGCAGGCGCGGGCGCGGGCGCGGCTTGAGAGGGCTCAACCTTCGGCACCTGCGAAGCCGTGGCCCATTGAGTTTGATGACTCAAATTACCAGAGGCTATTCTTAGTTATTGGAGTGGATGTCATGTCATAAGGTGGCTATGTATGTCATATATCATATATCATATATATATACATATTTCTATATATAATATATTACATATGTATATATAATATATATATATTATATATATTATACATATATATATATATTATATATATATATAGTACGTAACATATACATATATACCCTACAAATGCCCCACAACATGCCTGTCCCCATGCTGTTGGAGATATCCATGGCAGCGGCTTCGCCTGAGGCGACATCTGCGGCATCTGCATCTGCGGCTGACATGGAGCAACCATGGAATCCATGGGCCACGCTCCTCACATGGGCAGATACACCAAATGTGCTATCGATGGGTGTGGACAATATATAATATACACATATATACACGTAGATAGATTAGATTAGATTAGAACTAGATTAGATTAGATTAGATAGCGATGTATATACAATAGGTAGGTAGATAGACAGGTAAATAGCGACAGCTAGATAGATTAATTAGATAGGTACATAGGTAGACAGGGAGATTGGTAGATAGGTAGATAGATAGATAGATAGGTGGATAGATGTATAGATACCAAGCAATGCAACATGAGATAACATGATACAAAATGATTAAATGATACACAATAAATCAAAATGACGCTTAAATACATGATGAAAACCCATGAAAACAAAGATATTTCAAAAAAAAGATCTTGATTACAGAAGTGTGTACTGTCTACTGATATCATCTATGTCAACCTTAAAACTCCATGTTTCTGCCTGGGGAGGTCATGGGCCAGTTCTGCTGCGCCCAAGGCATATAGCCACACTGGTACTGGTCGGCCGGCACCTGACATCAGCACTGAATCATTAGTTGACCCCACCAGTTCTTCATGATTTCTATGATTTCTTGTAGCTTCTTCTGCTTCTTGTGTCATTTCATGCCATTTCCATTCGTTTCTTTCATGGTTGATCAACATGCCAAAAAACCATCATCGGTGATGGATCGTAAAGCCCACCACCAGTGATGGTCACCCAGCACTGAGCACAGCACCAGGATGAAGATTTGCTCTTGAGGTGCCTGACCCCACCACTGCGCCTGCATGGCGGCAACCCCTGGTGGTGATGGAGCAACAAAAAGGGAGATTCAGTTGGAGATAGTTGAAGATTTTACCAGCAAAAATCTTGGAGTCATGCAACAAAAACACAGATTCGAACAGGAACATATGGGAAATAAGATATCAGAAGCAATGACCGCGGGCTTTATCCAGCAACAAATCAGACCCAAAACGAAACATCGGGCATGCCAAACAACGAACGTTGAAATAGGGTTGTCAACGATATCCTGGATATGAACCATACTTAGGTATGTCCCAGCTTCCCCTCCATTTGCCAAAGCTCAAGGCTCAGAAAATCGTGAATCATGTCTGGGTCCGAAACTCCTTTTGCCAAATGACCCAACATGTGGATAGAGGTCCAACCAGGTCCAACGTTGAGCTCGGCAACAATGCCTGCCTCATACTCATCGGCCGACGAAGGCACTACCATTGAAATGAAACGACGGTCGCGGTTGGGCAGTTCCTTTCGGAAAACCCTGCGCTGCGGAACACAGCAATCGCACAGAAAAATCAATGGGAACTGCTTGAAGCCGAAAGGGCGGAGAGACACATCCGATGTGACTGGCGACAGTCGTGCTACTTAGGTGCTGAAATGCTCTGGCAGCAAGAAACACAAGTAGAATCGGACCAACTCTGACCATGTGCATTCAAAAACATCAAATATAAAAAAGTAAACAATCACAATCCACCAAAGACATCCAAAGACAACATATTCAATTTTAGCATGACAAGATATGACAAGCCTGTGGGCTTCCCTGAATTGCACCTTCGCCGTCCTCCCAATGCTTCGAGCCCGCCACGTTCATCACCACTTGTGCTTGCACAGTGACCTCTGCAGGAAATTGGTTTATGAGTTGGTTTAGTAAGTACCCTCTGGTAATTTAACATAGCTATGGAAAATCACCATTTATAGTGGATTTTCCCATGAAAAATGGTGGATCTTTCCATAGCTATGTAACAAATTACCAGAGGGTATCTAATTTCATCTAATTTCCATGTGTACATTGGTGAAAAATTAACGTTTTTTTATAGGTGTACATCACAGTTTTTTTTTTGGTGTAGTTTTCCCTTCAACCCTTGAGGTCTGTCTACACCCAGTCAACAACATCCCATCCGCCTCCTTGGATGCCACAGGGACTTGAAACTTGGTGGAGGAGAACCAGCCAACCCCCTGCGACTTGAACATCCTGGTGCTGTGCTGGGGGCGTTCATGCGGAAAAAGGACTCGAAATCCCAAGTGTTGGATGGCAAAAGCACTGGGAGTTTGGGACAAATTGAAAGAAATCTCACTTTTTTGGATGAGAAACTCATGATTCTTGCAGAATATCCCTCAAAACTCACCTTAAAATTCTGGGATGGCATGCAGAGTTTCTTGAGGGTATACGCCGCTGAAGAGATGAAGAGATTGCCGACCTTGACTGACATGGTTCCCCTGGTAGGAATTCATCAGCCGTTTTGTGTCACCCCACTGCTTAGCAAATCTTAGCAACCGGAGTTATAACTTATGACATCTTATGACATCTTATGACATCTTATGACATCTTATGACATCTTATGACATCTTATGACTATTGTATACTATTGTTATATATAATCCAGTTGTAAGTGGAACCCAGGGTAACCAGGAAATCCCAGGTACCCTGGAGAGCGCCTCGCCACCAGATTCTCCATGGAGCTCTCGGCAGCCTGCAGCTGAAAGAATTACTCAATGACTTTCATCTGCAGATTAGCCAAGTGACTCAATGGTTTTTTAGGATGTTATAAGTGATAGTTAATGGTTATTATATGTTATTATAATCCATCATCTGTTTCCAGATCTCTCTTTTTTTTCGGAAAAATCTATACATCTTTTTGCAGATCTCAAAAGTGCGGCACGGCTAGGCCCGCGCGTCAGCACTTCAGCGCCTGAACGCCTGGGATTTGAAAGGCCTCAGGGTTTGTCAAAAGGGGCTGACAAAACCAGGTGTTTTTTAAGGCAGGTTTGAGAGGGACAATGATCATCAACAGTCTTCACATTCTTCACCATAAACATCCAATAAACATCCACATACCATAAACCAATGATGATAACAACCAGCGGATTTCGAGACCAACCAATGACGAGAAAACAAAATGTCTTCAGTCTATGGCTTCAGTCAAACACTTGTTTGTTGAATCGCAATTGTTGGAATTCCAATTGTTTGTTAGTGACTGCTGGCTACATCCATATGTTCAACGGGTTTCAATGGCCACTGTTCACCCAAATCTCCAGGCCCTCTGGCACAGTTGATGACAGGGCTGGCAGCAAAGAACTCGGCGCGGCTCATCATGGGCTCCTGGAGTGGGGAGAAAAAAAAGTGGCTTTTCACCAACAAAAATGTGGAACTCACCAACGATTGGGATGCAACCAACAGTCATAAAGAAAGAATTGGAATTTGACCAACAGAAACTGAGATATCTGAGATCCATGAAAATGAATGAGTAAGTCACAAGTTGGGGATATCGTCAACACCAGAAATCTCACCTGCCAATCGGATTTCAGGCGTCCCCAAATATTTGGAGATACCTCATCTGGCTGCCACCAAATTAATATAACATTTATGTTTTTGGGATCAAGCCATGTTTACACGCAAAAAGAATGCCTAGTTTTGGAATGTGTTGGATAGTCTTCAACGGACCATGCTCCACCCATGGCCTCACCATCCTTGCCCTTGCCTTTGCCCTTGCCCTTGCCCTTGCCTCACCACATGCATGGGCCCATGGGAGGAGCAGTGATGATTTTTGGAGGTCACGATGGCTGCTGCCAATTCTTATTGGCAAAATCTCCACATAAAAGTGGTGATATCCCGAGTTGTTGTTGTCTCAATGCCATTATTAATGCCATTATATGCCATTGTTTCAATCGCAATTCTTGGTCTTCAAACAATGTACATAGTTGGCACAATCCATCTCAATCCCAAATGTTCATAATTTTGATCCATCACCATGTGCCATGTGCCACGGGTCCCACATCGTCCCTGCGGCCTTTCTTGCTTCCTTCAGCGGCCTCGAAACGGGGTTTGCTGGGTCTCATCCAGCCTTCACCCAATTCATGGCGAACAGTTGACCCACCTGATCCATAGACCAAGGCTTACCCAAGCAACGGAACCACCCAATGACTGTTTTGATGTTCACCGATTCAGAATCATCAAATCCACTGCCAGGGTCTTTTGCCCTCAGTTTCACTAAGTGTTTCTACCTTTGCCCTGAGTTTCTTCTGGTTTTCCAACGTTCGAACTTCCCCTCACAGATCATCTGAATGTCGGGGTAACCATCGCCAAAAGGTGATGATTTAACCATTCTTCACACAATCAATCCCGTGTCCAGGTTGAAACTCTACCCTCTGGTAATTTAACATAGCTATTGAAAAGTACCATTTATAGTGGATTTTCCCATTAGAAATGGTGATTTTCCATAGTTATGTTAAATTACCAGAGGGTAAATTCCAGTGTATCACTCAGATTTTCACCACTGGGCCTTAACTATTAAAGTCAGATTCAAACACTTAAAAAAAATCACCAAAGATTAGTGACTATTTCACACCATGTCCCTCATTTCCAAGGTCCAGTGTAAGATTCAAAGATCTTAAAGCCTGGTTAATAGGGATTCCCCTGGATTGTGACAATCCCCAATATAACTTATATCCCCATATTTTGATGCTTCAACCGTCCCGTTGAGTGACTATAATCATCAACCAGACTTTTGAACATGAGTTTCCCATGATCATACCTAATTAATAAAGCACGTCAAACCATAGAAAATCCATATCACTCCTAGCATGAAGAACCCAATATTGATAGGGGATGTAACATCACATCTTACGAAAATCCCTCCATCACTGGGCCAGGGCGCAGTGGCCTTCTTGGGTTTCTCCTTTGGCACATCGTGCATCGCTTCTGCCTGGGGAACCAAACAGCTCTGGGAGTGGTCCGTGAAAATGGCGGAGTTCGCCACCAATGTGTATACAATTATACATATACATACATACATACATACCATAACATAACATTACATAACATTACATTACATTACATTACATTACATACCATTACATACCATTACATACCATTACATACCATTACATACCATTACATACCATTACATACCATTACATACCATTACATACCATTACATACCATTACATACCATTACATACCATTACATACCATTACATACCATTACATACCATTACATACCATTACATACCATTACATACCATTACATACCATTACATACCATTACATACCATTACATACCATTACATACCATTACATACCATTACATACCATTACATACCATTACATACCATTACATACCATTACATACCATTACATACCATTACATACCATTACATACCATTACATACCATACCATACCATACCATACCATTACATACCATACCATACCATACCATACCATACCATACAATACCATACAATACCATACAATACCATACAATACCATACAATACCATACAATACCATACAATACCATACAATACCATACAATACATACATACCATACATACCATACATACCATACATACCATACATACCATACATACCATACATACCATACATACCATACATACCATACATACCATACATACCCATAAATACCATACATACCATACATACCATACATACATACATACATATACCATACATACCATACATACCATACATACCATACATACCATACATACCATACATACCATACATACCATACATACCATACATACCATACATACCATACATGCATACATACATACATACATACCATACATACATACATACATACATACATACATACATACATACATACATACATACATACATACATACATACATACATACATACATACATATATATATATATATCATAGCGTGTATAATATGTATATATATATATAGAGATAGAGTACAATATACTATATAGAGAGTACCGTGTTTTTTTAATAGTATACAACCAAACATGACATTAGGGACAACCCACAAGGTGATATTTCGATTTGTCCGAAATGGAGGATTTACCCCCAATAGATTCGGCTAAGGGAAAATTAAATGCTTATATAGTAAACCATGGGATCGAATGGAAACTGCAAAAAGCCCTTCAGAGAAAGCCATTTGGGATAGGACATGATAGGACCATCCAGGCCCATGATTTCCCCCGACCGGGCCTTCGCCAGCTTGGCCTTCTCTTCATAGCTGGCTTTATCAGCCTGGCTGATGATCTTGCTGAAAGTTGCTGTGCCTAATATTGACAAATTGTTGGTTTTACATCATAATAATTCGGAATCTATTTGTAGTCTATAGGTGTCTATAGTTGGTTTTCAGATGTTACTGAAAATTGGCAGCCAACATCTGCCGGCTATTTATGGGGCTGAACTTTTGGACTGTCCTTTGGCGACTAGTTCAGCTACAAGCAGCTGAGCCGCCTCGCTCACCGCCTTCCAACGCTCTGGCACAGCTTTGCTGATCTCGCCAAAAGTAGGCCTTTCGCAACGAAGACACCCAGCCAGGTGTTGAAAAATCAGCAAATGATCTAGGTGTAGCCATTCAATACGGATACTTGAAGTGTCAAACTTGAAAGATTCTAGATGTATCTAGATGTTGCATACGGATCCCGCAGCTTCTCTGGTGACCAAATATGCCAAGGTGCTTTCGTTGAAGCTCCTGCTCCAATTCTTCAGCCTCAGGGTCGTCACAAGCCATCCATGACCTGTCTGTTTTGATTTCAACCCTCAGCCTGTCTCAGTGGGATTTTGATTCGACTCACAGAAACACAATGTCAAATTCAAATGGATGGAAACCTCCAAATGTTCAGCTAATTGGTGGTTTCAACCCCTCTGAAAAATATTAGTCAGATTGGATCATCCTCCCAACTATTGGGGAAAATAAAAGCCATGTTCCAAACCACCAACCAGTATCAACCAGTAGGGGTTTAGTGAATTTTGGACTTGGGAACGATGTTCACCAGGGATATGGTGAATTCTGATTTTCACTCTGAGCCGAGATCCCCGAGAACAAACAAACGAAAGCCGCCAGAGATAGGGGTGTATCCGGATCTAGCCACGGAGATAACTTCAAACATCCTCTTCTCTATGTACATATGTTTTCACACCGGAAATTAAGATGCACCAGTTTCATCATGTTGTCGAAAAGCATGGGTTCAACAACATTTTTTCATCCTCTAGAATCATGTATCGAAAGATGGCCCTCTGATAATTTCACGTAGCTACGGAAAATCAGCATGTTTAAGTCTGGTAAATCATCCTGTTTATATCTGTTTATCATCTATTTCTATGGGCCATGGTTTCCATAGCAAACTGTTAGTTATATATATATACAGGATATATATATTATTCTTAGTTTACACATGGTTTACACCACCTTTAAGGTGCACCAAGCAGCCACAGTGGAACGATGTTCCAAGCTCCACAAGGAGTAGGCACTTGGGGCGGCCTTCATCGTCAAGCGGCCACTTGGAGATGAAAAAATGCTGGCTGTTTACCACGATTTCATGATGATGAGAATAGTATATATTATATGATAATAATGTTAATATATACATATTATTGTAATATATATATATTACTGTAATATATATATATATATGACTATAACTCACTATCACCTCCCTAGTATTTCTTCCTATCGAAAGGGGGGGGGTCGAATGCAAGTGGATTTTTTAGTTGAATGGGATAAGCAATTCTGACACTGGTACATTAACTATCCCATTAGATATCCCCATTGTTTTGCATAGTATCCCCGTATCCTATCATCAAAAACAATGTGCTTCATTGTGTTTCCATTATCCCCATCAATCCTGTTTCATGGTATCAGCTGACATATACAAATGTGTTAAGAGAAATTCAGAAGAAATATTATCTTATTAGATATCCCATGTGTTTAATAGTATCCCCATATATTCCCATCAAAACAATATATAGTGGGATAGGATTAGTCGGATTGGTAATTCCAAGAAAGGAGATGTCCATACATCTCCCATATATGTCCATATTAGTTCCATTATATATCCGCCGACCCCGGCAGACGCAAGGGGGAGTGCGTAAGGGAAAAAGAGTTTATGACACAGCTGCCAGGAAAGAATAATAATAATTCGCTGACCCCGGCCGATGCAAGGGGGAGCGCGTAAGGGAAGAAGAGGTGCTGCACTGCTACTTTTACTACCAGGCAGCAGCAGGCAGCAGCAGGCAGCAAGAACAACAACAACAACAGCAACAACAACAACAACAACAACAAGAACAACAACAACAAGAACAACAACAAGAACAACAACAAGAACAACAACAAGAACAACAACAAGAACAACAACAACAACAAGAACAAGAACAAGAACAACAACAACAAGAAGAACAAGAACAAGAACAACAACAACAACAATGACAATGACAATGACCCTTTGCCGGGGGACCCTGTTGGGTCCCCCTCCCACCGGTCACGTACGTCGATTCATTGACTCCGGGGTTTTTGTTTTACCGGTGGGGGGTGCTTCCCGGAGTCTCCTCGAGGTACGTGGGGCTCCTTGGGTTGCCCTTCCCGTCCTGATTTGTTCGTTCGAGGCCGACAACAACAACAACAACAACAACAACAACAACAACAACAACAACAACAAGAACAAGAACAAGAACAACAACAACAACAACAACAACAACAATGACAATGACCCTTTGCCGGGGGACCCTGTTGGGTCCCCCTCCCACCGATCACGTACGTCGATTCATTGACTCCGGGGTTTTTGTTTTACCGGTGGGGGGTCCTTCCCGGAGTCTCCTCGAGGTACGTGGGGCTCCTTGGGTTGCCCTTCCCGCCCTGATTTGTTCGTTCGAGGGTGTCTTTGTGGGTGAGCAGCACTTCTTCAGCAGCAGAAGACAAAAGTAGCTAAAATCCTCATGTTCTATTGGTTTCAGAAGCGACCTCTTCAGCAGTAGAAGACAAAAGTAGCTAAAAAATGTGATTTGTGATGATCATTTTCTATGGGTTTCAGAAGCGACGTTAGAGACTTTTTTGGTGCGATTCTCGGCCTAGTTCGTCCTTCAGGGCCATGGTGTTTCCCCGTCCGGGAGGGTGGTGCCTTTGTGGGTGAGCAGCACCTCTTTAGCAGCAGAAGATCACATCATTTTCTATGGGTTTCAGAAGAAGACAAAAGTAGCTAAAATCATCATCATCATCATCACATCATTTTCTATGGGTTTCAGAAGCGACGTTAGAGAGTTTTTTGGTGCGCTTCTCGGACTAGTTCGTCCTTCAGGGCCATGGTGTTTCCCCGTCCGGGAGGGTGGTGTCTTTGTAGGTGAGCAGCACCTCTTCAGCAGCAGAAGACAAAAGTAGCTAAAATCCTCATGTTCTATTGGTTTCAGAAGCGACGTTAGAGACTTTGTCGTGGGTGAGCAGCACCTCTTCAGCAGCAGAAGACAAAAGTAGCTCCAATCATCATTTTCTATGGGTTTCAGAAGCGACGTTAGAGACTTTTTTGGTGCGATTCTCGGTCTAGTTCGTCCTTCAGGCCATAGTGTTTCCGTTAAGTCCTTCAGGGCCATGGTGTTTCCCCGTCCGGCAGCGCCGATTTTCTGTTCTGTTTCTAGGGTTTCCACCACCACCACCAACAACAACAACAACAACAACCACAACCACAACCACAACCACAACCACGACGACGACGACGACGACCACCACAACAACAACAACAACAACAACAACAACAACAACAACAACAACAACAACAACAATAGCAACAGCAACAGCAACAGCAACGGCAACAGCAACAGCAACAGCAACAGCAACAGCACCAGCAGCAGCAGCAGCAGCAGCAACAGCAACAGCAACAGCAAGAAGAAGAGGAAGAAAAACAACACGAATATGTACAAGTAGACATCTTTTTGTTACCTTGAAACGCTTCATTTAACTTGCCACTCTGCTTGGGGGCACGTGCGGCCGTTTGGATTTTTGTGCTTGCTGCGAATTCTCCCTGATTGTTTGGTGGTTTGGACACAAGTTCCGCACGTTGGGCACGCGTGGACATAGCGCATGGTTGGACGCAGGACTCCGTTCTCGACGCGGAACTGCTTCCCACAAATGTGACGGTGGTTGATATTCCCAAACGCTATCGACGAAGTGACGCCACCATTGCAGCAGGTGAGCTAGCTGATGGGAGATTCAAAAAGCGGAAAAGGTTGGAAAAAAGACCTTTTTTCTAGGAATTCAGAAGGGACGTTAGGCAGTTTTTCGGTGCGATTCTAGGGCCTGTTCGTCCTTCCGTGCCTTGCTGTTTTGGTGCCGGGAGCTGCTCTTGCGACTCTTCTGTTAGCAGCAGCAACAGCAGCAGCAGCAGGTGAGCTAGCTGATGGGAGATTCAAAAAGCGGAAAAGGTTGGAAAAAAAAACATTTTTTCTAGGAATTCAGAAGGGACGTTAGGCAGTTTTTCGGTGCGATTCTGTGGCCTGTTCGTCCTTCCGTGCCTTGCTGTTTTGGTGCCGGGAGGTGCTCTTGCGACTCTTCTGTTAGCAGCAGCAACAGCAGCAGCAGCAGGTGAGCTGATGGGAGATTGAAAAAGCGGAAAAGGTTGGGAAAAAAAAGACATTTTTTCTAGGAATTCAGAAGGGACGTTAGGCAGTTTTTCGGTGCGATTCTAGGGCCTGTTCGTCCTTCCGTGCCTTGCTGTTTTGGTGCCGGGAGGTGCTCTTGCGACTCTTCTGTTAGCAGCAGCAACAGCAGCAGCAGCAGCAGGTGAGCTAGCTGATAGGAGATTGAAAAAGCGGAAAAGGTTGGGAAAAAGACATTTTTTCTAGGAATTCAGAAGGGACGTTAGGCAGTTTTTCGGTGCGATTCTAGGGCCTGTTCGTCCTTCCGTGCCTTGCTGTTTTGGTGCCGGGAGCTGCTCTTGCGACTCTTCTGTTAGCAGCAGCAACAGCAGCAGCAGCAGGTGAGCTAGCTGATGGGAGATTCAAAAAGCGGAAAAGGTTGGAAAAAAGACATTTTTTCTAGGAATTCAGAAGGGACGTTAGGCAGTTTTTCGGTGCGATTCTAGGGCCTGTTCGTCCTTCCGTGCCTTGCTGTTTTGGTGCCGGGAGCTGCTCTTGCGACTCTTCTGTTAGCAGCAGCAACAGCAGCAGCAGCAGCAGGTGAGCTAGCTGATGGGAGATTCAAAAAGCGGAAAAGGTTGGAAAAAAACATTTTTTCTAGGAATTCAGAAGGGACGTTAGGCAGTTTTTCGGTGCGATTCTAGGGCCTGTTCGTCCTTCCGTGCCTTGCAGTTTTGGTGCCGGGAGCTGCTCTTGCGACTCTTCTGTTAGCAGCAGCAACAGCAGCAGCAGCAGCAGCAGGTGAGCTAGCTGATGGGAGATTCAAAAAGCGGAAAAGGTTGGAAAAAAGACATATGAAAATTCAAACCTATCAAATATATTTCACAACGATGTACATAGCAAAAAGGTCGAGCTGCCAGCTTTGCTTCCTTGCCACTTCTTCCGGGGTCGGCGGCAGGGGCGGCAGCCCTTAAATATATATATATGTATGTCTATAAATGTCCAAATAATTTGGGGTCTTATCCCACTTAGTAAGTAGGATATAACTACCCTAGTCATAAGTGGATTAACCCTACTTATCCCACTGTTAATCAGGGATATAAACTACTTAATGGGATGAGCCACCAAGTAGTGATGAAAAGTGGTTCATATTGACATTAATATTGACTAATGATGGTGGATGACTAACGGATAAATGGGATGCAACATAGGGATTTACCCTCTGGTAATGACTGTTACATAGCTATTGAAAATGACCCAGTCGAAATAGTGGATTTTCCCATTAATCATGGTGGATCTTTCCATAGCTATTTTGACATAACCAGAGGGTACCCTCTAAATTAACAGTTCCCTATGGCTCCCATCGCAAAACATATCGCCTTTCGCTTGGGTCCCTTGGTCTTCACCGGGGATGCGGGCGCCGCAGCCGGTAGGCCGCCCGGGCCAGCCGTGGGAATGGCCTTGCACCATGGCTATATGGGGGTATCGCTAACAACTAATGGGGATTTCCTGTATGTATTCGCGACAATATATATATACATACGTGTGTGTGTGTACAATATATATATATATGACAAATACATAAACATAATTTATATATATATTATATATATATATACATATGTATGTATGTATGTATGTATGTATGTATGTATGTATGTATGTATGTATGTATGTATTTCGATACATAGAAACATGATAGGTATATTCTCAATAATTATCATTGATTTATCATTGTATCTACATGTGGAACCAAAATATGTCAATTCCTCGCCTGCGCTAAGGTGCGACGCTTTTTGGCCGCTGGCTCGACCTACCACTGGGGATGATAAAACATGGTATCGGCTTTACATCATGAAAACGGCAATCTGTGGAAGGACATAGGATATGATATGTAAATATATGTAAATGATATGGATATCAAATGATAACAAAAAAATTGGTATGTTGGATATTATGGAAATATCGAGTGGATATATGGAAATGTTATGGACATATTATGGGATGATTATGGATATGCATGCCCTCAGTCATATGGAAATATCAGATGCTTGACCCACATCAACTTTTGTGTAACTTGTATCACCGTTTTTGGTGGGTGAAAACCCCAAGATTTTGGTGGGTGAAAACCCAAATTCTTTTAGGGCGCACGTCCACAGAAACCCGCGCGTGATTTGTGCTCAGGACAAGAAGTGTGTGTTTTACTTGTTTTGGTTCATTTGTTTTGGAATGCGTTTGGAACAGTCAATGTCAAGCAGTTTTAGTTTCTTTGTTATTCAACTTAACATATGTTTGCAGGGAAAGATTGTTTCTGGCCTTTCCAGAGGTATAAATCAGGATGTCCGAAACTAACTTTTGGATTCCTGAGTTTCTGAACTCATCAGATGTGGTAGATCATTTCGAACATGAGAATGAAACATTTGCATGGAGTTTAAGAATGGTTATGTTGAGTAGTCAATTTTCTGTTCCATTGATCGTTTCATGACGTATGTGTGCATGACGTAGCATGACGTATGTGCAAGTGCAAGAGAAGATCCCAGAGAGTGCATGACGTATGTGTTCAAGTGCAAGAGAAGATGCCAGAGCCTAGCATGACGTATGTGTGCAAGTGTTCAAGTTGACATGAACGTTATTGCCCGCCCCACCCCCACGTGCACACCATACAGTCCATGCGTGTTCAAGTTGACATGAACGTTATTAGCCCCACCCCGCCGCACCCCAACCCACCCCGAATGACAAATATGCATATTGTATTGCAGGTTTCTATTGACGTGCATGGTTTTAGTGACATATCCATAAACCATGTGAAGCGTCTGAAAATATGGCAATTACCCCTGAAACCCCCTGGATTATCATCATGTTCACTATCGAAATTGACAGTTGGGGGTATACCCCCTTCTCAAACACGCCCAAATATCAGATTGTTGGTAATTTTCCGTCATATTCCCATCATATCCCTGTTATTCATTTGGTTACGTCCCAATTTTTCAGGGTTAAATCCGAATTTGTCATGGTTAAATCCCAAATTGTCAGGGTTAAATACCGTCGATTTTTGCTGGTTACACCTACCATTTTCCACCGCAACATCTGCCTCCTGGCGCTCCCCACCGGCGTGGTCGGTGCCGCCGGTGGCGCTGGGGCGTTCTGGGCTTCGAGGACCTGTGTCTGCAAGACTGGGGACCCGGCTGGTACCCTAAAATCCGCCGGCCTGCCGGCGTGTCTTGTGGATCTTGCTTGTTCGTAGTTGTACTGTTTGTTTAGTCTTTTGTCTTTGTCTAGACTTTCCCTTGGCGCGGATTTTTGCCCCGTCTAACTTGAACCCACCCCCCCCCTGTTTTTGTTTCGACCTAATACCTACATAGGTACATGCATGAGTATTGAGCACATTTATATGCACCCTTCAAGGCTCAAGAGGTATATAGAGTAACCCTGCAGACAAGCACTGACCGGCAACAGGCTGAGAGTAAAAGAGTGCTGTCATTGGGGAAGACGCCTTAGCTGATCTTGAAGTAGACGCTAGGGCCCCTCTTCAAGTGGTAGCGGAGCAGTGATCCCTCATTGAGGGTGAGCTCCAGGTAGAGCCCAAGAAATGGCAAGCCATGGCTATGATGATGATGACTTCGACATTGTCGATGCAAATGAATGGAACCAATATGACTCTTATGCAATGAGAAGAGCACCCCAGCATACACAGATTCATATGACGCAACAGATGACCACAAAGGTTGCTCCAGCCTATGATGGGCGAACCAGCTTCTTTGCTTTTGAGGATGCAATTGATGACTGGGGTGACATTACGGAGTTAGAACCAGAGAAACGTGGTCCAGCATTGCGCAACAGACTGGAAGGAGATGCTCAACAATACAAGAGGCTATTGGATAGAGAATTACTCAGGGATCCCTATGAAGGAGTGGCTTATTTCAAAAGATTTCTACGACCTCATTTCATCAAAGGTGCCCAGAACGTGTTCTTATACCGTTTCATGCAGTTCATGAAGTTCAACAGAGGAACCATGGATCTTCAGAAGTGGATGACTAGATTTCAACTCACTGGCAATAGACTTACTGAGTCTTGGATGGATTTACTTCCAGAAGTAACAGTGACTAGTCCTGAAGCAATTCTGTTTGTTCAACAACGACGTCAAGAACATGAACGAGATCAACAAGAGAGGGCTGAAGTAGCAGCAGCCTCAGGAACACCCCATGTAGCTGTTCCTTGGACAGATGAACTGGCACTAGCGGCATTCAGACAATTTCAGGAAAATCGTAGAGAAGCACAGCGACAAGCATTCCCACTGGGTGAAAATTTGCTAGCATTGATTTTTGTAAGTCTAGCTGACCTGAGTCAAGATCAGAGAAACACACTCACAAGTATCATGACACATCGTGGACGAACCCTCGATCGATACAGTATTCAAGAACTACGTGACCTGTTTTTGGAAATTTTTTGCACTACCAAAACAGCAGTTGACAATCCATTGATGCAACCCTCTGGCATGGCACAGAGAAGATCTTTCCTCGTACTGGATGAAGGTGAATTAGAAGGAACCGACGGCTATTGGGCCGAAGATGAAGAAGACGGCGCAGAAGTATTCCTGGATGCTTTAGAAGATGTTTTCTGGGTTTATGATGACGCCAACTTCACATGGTATCAGAGAAGGTTCCAAGGCAAATACATCAGACGAGGCAAAGGTAAAGGAAAGAGAAAAGGAAAAGGAAAAGGCAGAGGAGGACGAAGGTTCTTCAAATCAAGAAAAGGAAAAGGCCGAGGAAAAGGAAGAAGAAAAGGCCGTGCTCACATGGTGAGTGAAGAAGGTTATGAAGATGAATGGCAAGAAGATGAATGGAATGAAAACTATGACGGCTATTGGGCCGATGATCAAACCTGGAATGAAGGCTATTGGGCCTATGATGATCTGTACTAAATGGATGAGTATGGATACTTCCAGAAGAAAGGAAAAGGAAAAGGAAAAGGAAAGAAAGGCAAGAAAGGCAAGGATGATGATGGAAAAGGAGGAAAGCCAGGAGATGGAAAAGGCAAGTCGAACTATGTTCAACCTCAGACCACATCAGCTCCCGCCATACAGAATCAACCAACTCAACAAGCTCATTATTCTTCTGCAGCTTCAAGTTCTGGTCATGGTTTCTTTTCATTTGGAACAACTGAACCAGCACGTGTTGATGTTGCAGAGACAGAGCCAGCACGTGTTGATGTTTTGACATCCACGTATGCAGCACAAGATGAACAACGACGTACTCGTCGTGGAGGACAGAACCAACGTGATGCAAGAGCACATCAAAACAGGAGAGAAATGAAGAGATTCCCTGTTCTGGTTGGAGAAGTTGGTGCACTACGACAAGGTGTACAACAACGTCCAGCTGTAGTGCCCAGGCAAGTTGGTCTTCAAGAAGGTGAGGCTTCATGGAAGCCATTGGCAGAAGGCACATCATTGTTTTCACATGGATGCTCTACAGAGATAGAGGAACCATCACAGCAGAGTGCTTTTTCATTTCATACTGTACAAACTGATCTGGCATGTGAGAATGGACTAGCTTTTCACACAGAGAATTCTGCACCACCAACTGTGTGTATTCTGGATCTTGGATGCACAAGAGCTATGGGCTCTCGACGAGCAGTTGAAGCATTTTGCAGATATGTTGACTCACATCCCAACAGTGACGCTTCTGGTATGAAATTCAGCCAACAAGTTCAAGATGCTTCTTTTGCAAAACTCCCACAACAACAAAATGTACGTGAGAAGCTCGTGATATTCATGTTGATCATGGGGGAGGAAACGACTCAGTTTACAGAATTCGACATTGTGAAGAGGGGATGTCCATTGTGATGTTCAATTCCATAGATGAGAAAAACCTTTGGATTTCAATTTGTTGAAAACTACTCAGAGAAGGCTTATTTGTCCTGTGCACGTATTGGCATGAGAAAAATGGTTTTGAGGACAGCCATCAGTACTCATCTCATTCTCGACCTACAAGATATAGCATGGTACATGAGCCAAGTTCATTTCAAGACTCCACAAGTCAAAAGTTTCTATTCACAACACGATCACTTTGAGTACAGTCAGATTGCTGTCAAACAAGATGATCATGAAGGAGAAGCTTTGGTGACTGGTGACTACTGGCAGGTTGATCCACTACGTCGTGAACTCATCAGGCACCAGAAGGACAAGAGAATGAACTTACATGAGATGACTCGATCAGAGAAAACTCCAATTCCAAAAGATCAACTTCTTGATGAGAGAGAAACCCACATGGAATTCCAGAAGAGCAAGAAGAAGGTTCTTCACAAGGACAACTGGCGCACAGAAAGGAAGAGGTTTTCTGAACAGAGTGAAGAGTTCTGGAAGGGCAAGACAATCTACAAGATCAAGGAGGACTACGTGATCCCAGAGGAGATTGTCAGAAGTGACATTGATCGTGCAAAGCCCTTTCGTGGAAACATTGATGATCTTTTTCACCCTGAGTCAGCCTCTTCAGTGCCATCAGGTGTACAGAAGAAGAAGCCAAGCTCCTTAAAGAAGGAGGAAGGCAAACCGATTTCAAAAGGACCAGGCTCGAAAAAGATTGAGGTAGGTCCACCTGCAGCCAAAAGACACGTAGGTAAGCAGAAACCTCAAGTTGTCGATGACTCTCAATCAGGTTCATCAAGAAAGAAGGTTGTTGTCTCCTATCCCAAGCTTGATGAAGAAGATGAGCTTGATAAGGTAGCTAGGGAATTAGGTTTGGACAAAATTGATCCAGATGAACCTCAAGTCATTGAA